TCCATCAGCTGTATATGTCCCTTCTTTTTCCTGTGTGATTATATATGTCTCCTCCTTTGAAATTCAAAGGCATCCAGCATTTATCCAAGACCATTTCACTTCTGCATTTAAATTATGATATTTATTTATGCGTGATGAATTTCTAAGGACGATTTTTGAAAAAGCTTGAGGTTGGCTGTCATTACAAACATGTTCATTTAAGTCTGCAATCAGCTACTCTATTAGTGGAATCAATTTGAATAAATTGCATTAAGTAAAAGTTCTGAAGACAAAAAAAAAAGATATGTCAAGAGATATTTGATGACCATCCTACGGACGAAAAAAAATATAAAAAAATAAGATACGTATTGGAAACAGTACTTTGTTACTCTTGTATAAAAGAAACTTAAAATTGCAGTGGCTTATTAAATAGCAATATACAAAGCAACTTCTCTGTTTAGAGCCACATTCCACCACCCTTATTTACATTGAGTAATACCTTACTCTGAAAGTAGTTCCTTGCAGAACAAGCGTATACTCAGCTTGAGTCAGACTGGCAGAATCTGGCCTCCATTAGCACTTCCACATACAGAAGCTTTTTCCTAGGTAGGTTCTTACTTTACCCTCATCACCATAGTAACTGAGGATCTTCTTATGATGCAGTAGGCAACATGACTAAGGTCTGTCACATGTGGTTCATTCTTTCCCCACTTCCAGCCATAGGATAAAACTGTGTGTGCAGTGCATTGTTTGGTTTGGTAAGGTGGTGGATCATGTGGGGTTTGTTTTTTAATGTACATACTGCTCTACATGTATGTTAGAGAAGGCAGGTGGAAAATGTGTGCCTTGCACTTGCAATAGATGAGGTTTGTGATGGTCCTTAGTTCTTATGAGAGCTCATTCCACAGTTCATTCTCAGATCAGCCGCACAACATGCTCCTGACAGATGAGCTTCCCCCTTATGGTAGGACTTTTGAGAAGGGGGTGTCATTACAAATTAAATATTCACACACTTTCAGCAGTTAAAGGTTATTCATATTTTTGCATATACAAATCATCATGGGTGCAATTATTAGTCATTAGATGTCCAAATTCCTATTTGCGTACTGTATTTATACCCATAGTTTTGTTCTTGGGAAAAATAAAAAAGGGAGGTCTGGCTGTGGCTCATCTGAAAAACTGTCCCTATAATTGTATTTTGAACTTCCATAGCACCTTTCACCAGAAGATGTCAAAGTGCTTTACAAAGAAATAATTAAGCCACTTTGATCTAGGGATCACCTCTCTCTCTCTCTCTCATATGCTGTTCTGTGAAGCAAAACACAACCACAGTTCAGTTGGGTAGAATTGCTGTGCCCTGCGAAGCAGTGCAAGACAGGTTACAAGATCCGTTTGAGCCTGCAGGAGGTACAGGCAGAACCCAGGCCCCTGAGAAATATTCAGGATATAATTCCTTTACTCCTTAAGCAGAAAGCCACGAGATTTTCAATGACAGCAAGCGATCAAGACCTCGGCTTTCCATTTCATGCAGGAGATTTCCTTATGAGAAGCAATGCGATACCAGCACCATACTAGGGCAATAAATCTGGGGTGCCAGCTATAGAAAGCCCAGTATGACTAAGTGGTGTGGTAGTGGTACCTGGAAGTCTTTCATTCAAATATCAACCTGGTCTGACTCTGCTTGAGAGCTAGTGAAGGTGCAGTAGAAACAGGTGTGGCTGCAGACTACTCTAGATTCCTTTTAAACCATGTTAGTCCACAGGAAAGCAATAAGAACCGTAACAGGATCGGGAGAGTTAACTGCTATTAAAAAGCTAGAACCCCCCCCCCCCCGATATTTACTCAGGGAAAAGATGGGTTAGAAGAGAGATAACTGACATTGTTAAAACGTTAAAAGGGATCATGAGATCAGACATGGAATCTTTTTGAGCTGATGCTAAATCCCAGGGTTTGGAGACCTGAATTTTAGACTAAAGAAACAGCAGCCGAGGAGAGAATGCAAACGTGCCATTCTGCATAGAGATTAAGCTAAAACCGATTCACAGACTAGATGAGTAACTACAAAGGTGCAAACCCTGCCCCCACAGGTGAGATGGGAGCTTATGGACCAGCATAAGCTGGGGGTGTAGAGGCAAGGTTAGGGGCCTTGCAAGATGGAGCCGCCTGAATGGAAGATTCTATGTGCGCTGATAGTTATAGACAGACCAGAAAATCCACTACTGTTTGGATCCTCCCTCTCTTTGCCCTCATTCCTGGGCAGGCAGGAGTGTGCTAGGCCTGCAGAGACTACTTTATCCATTAGACTGCACAAGGAGCCACTGAGCAACTCTGCTCCTGCTCCACAGAATGGGGGTGGAGGGATTCTTTCCCTTTCCATGTTTCCCAGTACCCAGTCTAGTTACTTAGGCTGGGCAAAGGTCTCCCAAGTGCTTATCAAAACAAGAGCCTTTTGGGGCTGGAAACCCCTTCCCCAAGCTGGGGAGGATAGAGAAGAAACTCTGCAAGGAGACCTGCATGGAGATACCAGTTGACTCTCCTCCAAACCTCATCCCCCTGTGGGTGTTTTCATGAGAGGAGAAGTTCTGGACCAAATATGCTCATGTCCAGTAATATAACTTCACTAATAATTGCATATTGAAAGTGCTACCACAGTCATTCTAGATCATTTTACCTTTTTAAATTATTGCATTGATTGTTAGCAATGGGCCAAAACCAGAAATAGGGGAAGAAAAATGGTACCAGACCTGTTCTAGCTGATCATTGTATCCATGACCACCGATTCTGTGTTCCTTATTTTCTGAGTGCCCAACTTGAGACACCTGGGCCCAACTTGCTAAAGTGCTGAGCACTCACAATCAAATGAAGTCAGTGAGGGGTGTGTTCTGAACATATCAAGTGCTATAAAAATGGTAACTATTTTGAAAAACCAGCTCCAAGACATCTCAAGTTGAATGGTTGGTGGACACTTTGGCCTTAACCTCTGTGCCTTAATGTCCCATCTGTAAAATGTGAATATCACCTTCTCTCACTGGGTTGCTAGCCAGGATGGGTAAGGAATGGTGTCTCTAGCCTCTGTTTGTCAGAGGGTGAAGATGGATGGCAGGAGAGAGATCACTAAATTATTACCTGTTAGGTTCGCTCCCTCTGGGGTACCTGGCATTGGCCGCTATCAGTAGACAGGATACTGGGCTGGATGGACCTTTGGTCTGACCCAGTATGGCCATTCTTATGTTGTGATGATAAACTCACTTTTTGAAATGTACAGAGGGTATGGTGATGAGTGCCATAAAAGAGCCCATGAGAAAATTAATAATTCTGCATTTAGTGCACAATTTGGACAGAATGAAGTAGATGGGGCAGGAGCCACACATTGAATGCTACGGTTCAGAAGAAATATGGGGGATGACTGAACGTTTGGTAATGGGATATGGAGTCTGTTATATCTAGATGTCCAGTTCAGATCCAGGATGATGACCTCTGATGGCTGTTTGGCAAGATTATATATTACATAGAATGAACTGGTACTCAGTTCATAAAAGTCCACATCACAAAAACCTGTATCTGGCACTGGTCAGAATTTACCACCTGCCCAATCCTCTCACTGGGGCCAAGGATCAAATGGGTACAGAGACTGAACTCCCCTCTCAGTCATAAGGTAGTTCCTTGGGTTGGTGCACATAGGCAGACTAATGAAGTTTACCCTACAACTGCCCACAGCTTATTTGTCTGTGTGTCTGACATAACATTTTAGGTATTTTCACCATGACATATAGGTGTATGCAGAATCAGATAGAGTTCAGAGGCTAAGAATTGTAAAGATTAAAGAGACAAAGCCAAATCCCCATTTATCAACAATGAGAGGAAGGAACAAACAAAAATAAAATCTGACATGACCCATACCTCCAGCCTGGGGTCCATTAGTAGCCATTTACTGTAGTACTGCAAGCCTGTCCTTCATCAGAGCCTGAGCCAAACTGCTGTTCTGCTGCAAATCTCTTATTTTATTATCCTGGAGGAGGTTCCCAGCCTGCCCTGCTTTTAAAGGGATAGCACCCTTTCCACACACAGTATGGTACTTATTCTTTTGCATCTTTTACAAGCACAACATTTAGTAACAGCCAGATCCTGTTTACCCTAATGTCATTTGGCAAAACTGCCATTGATCTCACTGTGTCCTCCACTTGGTCTTGAATTACTTAGATTTTCTTTTTAAATATTCAGTGATATTATGCATATTTTAACGTTAAACACATCAATAAATATTTGTGGAATCAAGATCAGACTCATTAACACACTGAGAATATTACAATTCACAGACGTAATCATGTAAACACGTATGTACATAACTTTTTACTATGCATTTGTATTACAGTGGTCTAAAAAGCCCTATTGGGGTCCCATTGTGCTAAGTGCTGTATTTATAGTTCCTCTCCCAAATAACTTACTGTTTAAAAAAAAAAAAAGACAAGACAGACAGGGAGTATAGTTACCATTTTAGAGATGGTAAACAGAGGCAGAAGGAGATTAGATAACTTGCCCAGCATCACACAGGAAGTCTGTGGCATAGCCAGGAATTAAACAGATATATTTTGAGTGGTAGGCCAGAGCTTAAACCACAAGACCTGTCCTTTCCCATAACTCCAGTGGACTTACTCATGTGCATAAAACTTAGCATGTGCTTAAGTGATGGCAGAATTGGGGCCTAAATAAAACAAGATATGGGGGAACAGTTCAGGAGGAGGATCTGGGAGTTACTAATAATAAGGGAGAAGTATTTCCTAAAGAGCTGTGCAGGGAGGGAGGGAGATAAGGATAGTTTTCAAGGAGACAGAGAGAGAGTATAAGAGAACAGGCAGCTAGATAGAAGAAGCAAGATAGAAGTCACTAAACCAAAAGTAGGAGAATGAAATGAAGGGCTGTGTAAGGCAGGAGAATTGGGATGCCAAGAGAGAGCAAGAGGAGGTGGACAAGGGAATGAGATGTAAGCAATGACAAATGAATCTGTGTCTCTGTTTTGCTAGGAACTGTGTTCTGGAACCTCCCACACTTTAGATGAGTTGGTGCAAGAGTTATTTCTTCAGACTCTTCCTACCAAGACTGGTCTGTCTTTAAGAGAATGTGAACTTCTAAAAGAAGAATGTCAGGAGAATTTGATCCTTCAGTTAGAGAAATGGGACAGCTGTAGACAAAAGCAGTGGAAGCTCTTCCAAGAACAACTGCAAGAAGAAAAACAGGTATGGATTCAAAAATTGTGGCATGTATCAAAATTCTCATGTCACAAACTATTTCATACTTATAGTCCGTTACCACTAGTTTTTCAATGTTCTTGGTTTAACCACTTGTTTTGGCTTTCACTTTGTGCTGTCCTTTTAAAATGTATTAATGGTCCTGCTTGATTATATAGCACCTCTGGATATAATTTGCATATGTAGTAGTCACACAATACTACCTTGCAGTGATCTCTTCAGCTGATTAAATACATAGAATCCAGTGAAATTATTTTCTCAAATTGGATAAAAATTAAGGTAATGATTGGTAGAAATTAGCAAATCAGCTGCCACAAGGTGTTTAAGAAACTGTTCTCCACAACCATTCTTATGGGTTCCTCCATGAAAAGTGAATCAATCATAGAATCATAGAATATAAGGGTTGGAAGGGACCCCAGAAGGTCATCTAGTCCAACCCCCTGCTCGAAGCAGGACCAATTCCCAGTTAAATCATCCCAGCCAGGGCTTTGTCAAGCCTGACCTTAAAAACCTCTAAGGAAGGAGATTCTACCACCTCCCTAGGTAACACATTCCAGTGTTTCACCACCCTCTTAGTGAAAAAGTTTTTCCTAATATCCAATCTAAACCTCCCCCACTGCAGCTTGAGACCATTACTCCTCGTTCGGTCATCTGATACCATTGAGAACAGTCTAGAGCCATCCTCTTTGGAACCCCCTTTCAGGTAGTTGAAAGCAGCTATCAAATCCCCCCTCATTCTTCTCTTCTGCAGGCTAAACAATCCCAGCTCCCTCAGCCTCTCCTCATAACTCGTGTGTTCCAGTCCCCTAATCATTTTTGTTGCCCTTCGCTGGACTCTCTCCAATTTATCCACATCCTTCTTGAAGTGTGGGGCCCAAAACTGGACACAGTACTCCAGATGAGGCCTCACCAATGTCGAATAGAGGGGAACGATCACGTCCCTCGATCTGCTCGCTATGCCCCTACTTATACAATGTGTGTATAAGTGATGTGTGTGTGAGACCATATTAAGCGTCCTACTAAAGCTAGTTGTGTGATTTACCATACAGTGGTTTTACATCATTTAGAAAACTTGAGAATATAAAAAGCTTAAACAATAAATTAAAGTATGATCCACCTGCCTTTTCCATGGTTTTGAGTTTTTCCATGTGCATCTCAGGTAGTGATTTTATCTTTTCTTTCATAGGAGAGTGGAACAAATAGCTAGTCTGTTATTTCAGCTGTTCTGACAAATAGTTATTTTAGTCACCTATTCTGTTTCTATGTTGCACAAACATTTGGAACTCCAAAATGTTAGGCTCCAATTCTGCAAATGCTTAAGTTAGCTTTTGAGTGTTAGAAGCTGAAATGCTAGAGGAAGGGTAGTGACTAATGAGAGAACATCTGACTTCAAAACTTTACATCTTTGCCAGTGTCTAAGTCTATTTAACGGTGATCATATGTAAATCCTATATTTCCCTACCTTTCTTGAATGTATAAAACCTGTTCTACCCTCTGATTATATGTTGGAGAAAGTCTCTTTAAAATATGTATAAAGCCAGTACTGGACTGCACTCCATTTGACAGAAAGACCCAGTCTTTGGAAGCTTTTGAAAGGGTCATTTCAGCTCTTTGAATGAAAGGTAATCAGTCCTGGGCGACATACATGTTTAAAGTCAATGAAGTGACAAAGGAATTAGGGTCTAATCCAAACCCCAGAGAACTCAATGACAGCTTTTCCATTGATTTCAGGAAGCTTTGGATTAGGCCCACTATTAACAGAAAAGGAGGTGGGAGTTTGAACTCAGGGACTGAGATTTCATGAGCCAGATTTCCCTCTCGTTGAATGGATCCCAGCCCAACGAGAGTTGCAATACAGAATTGCCATCAAACAGCTGTGCATGGTCAGGGAAAACAAATGTTTGAAAGTGGTGGCCAGAAATGGAAAAATCAAGACAAGGTGGCATTTTAGCCTGGAATAAGTGAGAGAGCAGAGAAATTCAGAGTTGTAAGTGGGAGAGGAAAGAAGAAAGGAAATTAGAAAATGGAGCAGAGGAGGAGGGAGAGAAGAGCTACAAGGGGAAAACAAAGAAACTGATGGAGAAAGAACAAATAGTCTGGAATCCCATAATAATGATGCCATTTAGGCACTCTCAATCATAATACCACTGGCATTCATTGACTAGAGCGCTAAGAAGGTAGTTCCATTAGCTCATCTTCTAAAGATCTGAAATTAGCTAGTGATAAAATGTATTGAGATATCAAGCTTGCTCTCCAAACTGCCTTATTTCAAAAAGTCATTTATATTTATCCTCCGTGACTTAGGGGCCTCCAGCACATCTTCAGAATAACTGTATCTGTGTGTATGCGTCATTGCATGGTGAAGAGTGCATTACATATCTTCCTCAGGGCAGGTCTACACTATGGCAGGGATCGATACTCTGAGATCAATCCACCGGCGGTCAATTTAGCGGGTCTAGTAAAGACCTGCCAAATCAACTGCAGATCACTCTCCAGTTGACCCTTGTACTCTACCCCCAACAAGAAGAGTAAGGTAAGTCGACCCTGCGGTAACTCGACCTAAGGTACGTAGCTAGAGTTGTGTAGCGTAGGTCGACTTACCGCAGTAGTGTAGACATAGCCTCAGAGGGGTTAATGCTGCTAGATAACGGATGTTTAGACAGCACTATAAGACAGAATTCAGCAGCCATTCAGTTCAATCCCAAGCATGTATTCCGAATGTAGATGAGGCTGTTGAATACCCTCCAGTTTTAGTGCATCTCAACATTCATAATGGGATGGCCGAGTAAAAGGATAATGTTTCATATACTTCTTTTTTTAAAGAATAAAGGTTTAGCAGACAATTATGTTAATCATCATAGAATTATAGTATAGGAATATCTACTATAATACAATCATCACACCCCTCTCTAAATTGCCATCATAATTGACAGGTCATTTTTCAATGTAACACTTGTCTATACAAGAGTTTTCACGAGGGCCTGTCCAAAATTGTGGAACAAACTTCCACAGGAACTAAGGGCTTATCTGCATTGGGAAATGGACAGGCAGAAATGTGCCAGTATAATTATACTGTTATAGCTGTGATGGTATAACTGTCCATGTGGATGCTCTCCAAGATTTAGTTTCTTTTTTTGTTGTTGATTTTTTGTCTCATTGGAATTGGTTTAAACTAAACCCAAAAAAAAGGTACTCAATCCCCGAAGAGAGCATCCACACAGGTATACAGCAGAGCTTAGCAATATAATTATACCTGCATAGCTGTGCTGGTAAATTTCCCTAAGAATCAAAGACCTCACCACCTTCCACTTCAAGTGTAAGGTGCACATCTTCGACCTGTCTTCTCTGGTGTGCACGTTTAAAACAAACAAAACTCAACCAAAACAAACATTTCACCGCACACACAAGTCTTTCCCCGGGGCAAGGATGAGAGAATGAACCACATGACAAATGTTAGTCATGTCACTTAATACCCTACTGGAAGGCACTCAGCTACTACAGTACTATATAGGAACCAATATATACATATAAAATATAATTTACATACATTTTAAATTTACAAGGCATAATTATGTAGGGCACAAAGCTCTCATCTGCATTTTGAAGAAAGTAAGAGCATATGATCAGCTATTCTATGTAATTCTTTAGTCTCTTCATTTCCAAAGTACTTTTCCTAAGGGGACTGCAGATTTCTTACCAAGATGATTCAAGATGCCTTTAACATGTAGTGGATTGTATTTCTTTTTAAGTGTATTTTTCTTTGCATTTAGCGATTTAGAGCACATTTAGGATGGGAGTCCCTTTAGAAAAAAATCCTCTTTATTTCATTGCTTTGTGGTTTTTTTAAGAGACATTTTGATAGTTTAATTTTGCCTGCAACCTAGAGGACACAAACAGGTGCAAATGGGAATAAATTAAGAAAGAAAAGAAGTGCTGTGCAATTTGCATGATAGCCCCCTAGCTCACAATTTAGAGAAAATAAAGTTAAGGTCTGTGCACTAGTTATACACAGCCAGATGCTGGGCTTGGTTAACTGTGTTACCTGGCATTCAGTATGCATCACACACCATCTACAGGCTGGCAGAGCAACATTCCTTCCTAGGTGCTAAAAATGTCAGCGTCCTCTACTCCTTTTTAAATTCCAGAGGGGAAAAAAGGGGGGAAGGGGGAAGAGAATATGGAAGTGAGCTCATAGCTGTGTTCAATTTGCCATTGTGTCTGAGGGTAACTCACAAAATTATGTGGTTTTGGTTGCATAGTGGAGAGCTATTCCACTCTCTTGTTGGCTGAGAGCAGTGCCCACAGCTTCAGCAGATCACATAATTGGCCTGTTGCCAGGAAACAAAGCTGCAGCAAAATGTACAGAGACAGGAGGAGGAGGAAGGGGCTTCCATCAGTGAGCCTTCCAGATCCCTAGTTTGACTCCCACAAAGGTCAGAGTCTGCTTATTCAATCAATTTTGACATATCATGTGAATCTTCTTTCCCTCTCTGAGTCTGGTGGATGCTCAGTATTTCAGTGACTGAAATAGCTCTTCTTTTCAAGTAGTCTAGCATGCCTTTTAGTTACATCCCTCTCCAACCTTAATACTCCCACTTCAATTATTGTTCCTGGATTGAGAGTGGACTGTAGTGGTTCGAAGGGGATGAGGAATCAGAGCTTTTAAGTTCCAGTCCAGCCGTTGACTCTCAGTACCACAGAGCAAGTCATTTAACCCACCCACTGTACCGCAGTTTACCCATCCTTAAACTGGATATACTGCTAACCTACCTGTGAGCTTTTAGTAGTCTTTAGGGCCAAATTGAACCACTTAGACACAGGTGTGTACTGAAGGGGAAATGCTGTGGCATGCCACATCAGGAGAGTTCAGGGTTGTGCTTCAGGAGCAAATAGTCCCTCCCCGTGCAGCCTCATGCACAGGAGAATGGTATAGGCTGCACCAGCCTTCCTGATAGTCCCACTTTCTTCCTTCAGTGCTCCTGGTACGAGGGCAAGGCCATGGAGTAACAAGCACACTCAGGTGCCATACTCAGGTGGTGGAAATTAGAGCAGCCCCGTGGCATCTCTAACCTGTGCTGGGGCTCAGAGTCACACAGAGCCACTCTGAGAATGGGGGAAACTGTAACCAGCTATAAGCGTTAACATGTTACACAGCTCCCTAACAGCCTGGTGCAGCTGTGGAAGCTCAGTGCAGCAGAGAATCCAGTCTTCTCTCCAGGCCTTCCCTTTCAATTTGCCTGACAAACACTTATCTGACTAGGGCCCAGATTCTCTCTTGACTTTGGGTTTCATTGTGCCACATCAGTAGTACAAAGCAGCTCTGAAGTGGTGCATATAAGGGGAGACCCTCTGTAGGCATAGAGCCAGCAGGTGAACCAGGAGAAAGGGGATATGGCTAGGGCTCCCTGGACTCCAGCAAGGCTCAGCTGCTGTCTTTGGTCATTGGCATAGTTTAAAGAAGCCTACATGTTGCTCTGGCCTGTAGCTGGAGGCTGGAACAGACCAGTGCCGAGTTGACTGAGGATAGGAGCGCAAAGGAGGCATCACGCTATCTTTGTGCACATGGCCTCTCAGCAGTGCGTTCCTCTTTCTTATGACCGAGGATCTGGGCCTACGTGGCTAGTTCTTTATGCAAGCCTGTTTGCAAGGGTTTTCACTGAGAGGGAACCTTGGAAACAAGGACCATTAAGAAGCTGAAAAATATGTTTCCATGTCTAAGGAGTCACCACAGGAACCTTTATCAGTATTTATGATTAGATCTTGTGCTAGATGTTCTCTCAGTGAAAAATATGACTCACTCATTTTCTCTAAAGGGGAGTTTACCTAGCCTTATACACAATGGTGGTGCTCAACAAATAATTAACATCAATGAATATATTTCCCTTCTTTATGATCATTCTGAGTCACTTGGCTTGTTTGCAGCCTGTCTGGAATGGACAAATTTGGCTTTTTGTTTGATTACAAAAATAGAGTCTCTCCTTAATAATTTAATCCACAAAATATTAGAGAATAAACTGGCATATAGACACCTAAAAATGACTTCTCCGTCAATAGCCAGGTATCCCAAAAAACAATGCCAAGAGAGCAGCCTCTTGCTGTCCATCTCTAAATTCCCCTTCTGAAAATTAAAAAAAGTCTGCTCAGCTCTTCTCATAAGAACTGCTCAAAGAGCGAGAGTGAGTGCACAATACACAGCATAGTGGAGAAGTTTTAGAAATGAAAGGGCTCTCTAGGGATATGCAGTTAGCTAGGAAACAATTGGTAACCTTTTCACAACCTAAGGTGCAATTCAGACCAGTAAGGGTTTGTGTTACTCCCTGCTCTGTAACACTGACTGCTTAACTGCTCTGCTGCTGTGGCTCACAGCCTGGACACCAGCAGACAAGCATACAGTATCCCAAGTGTCTGTGTGCTCTGCAACCCTGATTCAGTATACTGAACTCAGCAACCTGCCTACACCACAACAGCCCTACACTGGTTTCCACTAGCTTTGTTTACACCTGGCAAGAAGACCCCAAAACCCTCCTTCTGAATTTTCCCAAAATCCTGTTTGGTCTGCAACGTCCAGCCCTTTTCTGGACCATTCAGAGAAATAATATGGTTTGTTTGCTCTTTTAAAGAGATAATACTCAGCAGCTTGCCACATTAACTGCAGTTAACAATTACTTCTGTTCAAACACAGCACTGGGTTGGTTTAGCTTAAAAGTAAACCAAATTGATTAGCAAAAAGGACATAGGTTACGTGATGCAAAGTAAAAGAAATAAAGTTAGAGAGGGTTACAAACAAAAAGTAAAAATGCACTTTCTAATGGCTAAGATTTAATTCAATAAGTTACGGTCTTGGTTCAAGGTAGATTTGTTATCAATCTTTTTTTCTAGGACACTTCAACCCCATTGGTTAAAGGACCCATCTTTCTCAGCTTGCCAGAGCTCTGGCCCCTTATTCAGTGATGGATGCCACAATGGCTTATTCTCTTCCTTTAAAACTTCCCAAACTCATAGTTTTGTCCCCACACTCGAGATGACCTCATGCTGTTCTTCCCCTCCTGTTCTTCCATCCTCCATGTTTTGGGTCACAGTTTGGTTAATTTCATGGGAGACATGTAGATAGCTTCCTTCCCTCCTGTCTGAGAGAAAACCGGTTTCTCTCTGTGTTCGGGCACAGACTTTAAAGTTTAATATTATTAATTATCCACATTTCCTCATATAGTATTAATACATATATTTCACAATTATATTGATCACCAGTGTGTCATTAGCTTCCAGAAAAGACCTTCCTTGATACACTTTTACAATACAGTAATATTGTATACAGTTAGTTGATTCAGTTATTTATTTGAAGTTTTTAGCCCTATCCACCCCGAGGCAGTCTCCCACACTCACAAGGTTGATGGCTTTGTTTCCATTTTGTGTAAATGTGCCTTCATGATCTGTGCCTGAGGACAATACAATACACATTTTCTTTGTCTAGGACAGACTGGGCTTATGTACTGCTTGCCAAATACATTTCCAGAACATAATTCTAGCACATACTGATAACTTTGTACATACCCTGTACTCACATCATGGAAGACTATTAATGATCAGGGAGTTATTAGTTTTCCAGTGGTATCTTACATGGCATCATTTAGCTACAGATTATGACAACAGTGTGTTATGTATAGCGAGTATGTCAGTCCTGCCGAAAGCTGCTGATACAGAGTAGTGAACCGCAGGTAGGTCTTTGTGTCACTGCCCTATCCATGAACAGAATGACCCAAAGAGAGATATTGGTACAATTATTTTATTATTACAGGCATTTAGTTGGCACCCATCCCTGTTGTATCCAAGGGCTTTTAAAGTTTAATTTGACGCCGGCAGCTGCACCTGCTTGCAGCTTTACCATTCAGCTATGAATCCAGAATTTCATCATTTTGGATGTCCTGGCCAAATAGGTACATCTTGCAGCCCTTCCAAAAGTGGCTAGGTGGGCTCAGTAATGTCCACAAGGAGTGAATATGAGATAGGAAGACTCAGTATCAAGCTTTACCATCAGCATCTGCAAGCTTCTCACCTTGTCCAATTCTCTTGCACCTGCAAGAGTCTCCCCTTGTTCCAGGGTCCAACTCTCTGCTGGGGTTAATGGGCTCAGCTCTCTCAACTTAACTGGTGCTTTGTCCACTTATCCAGAACATCTTCTGCTGGAGTGAGCACAGATCACAAAGTGGATGGGAAGCAGTTTTTGAGATATAAAACTCTAAATTAAAGTATCTCTCTCAGGCTAACTAGTACCTTGAATTTCACCCAACAGTCATTTGACTCCAGTGCAGCCTAAAAATATAATGCTTCAGCCTTCAGTAATAGAAGAGCTTTGGGCATAAGTACCCATATTGTCATAGGTTTAGTGCCGGCAGCATTGTTAGCACAGCACAAGGCAAAGTTAAGGACAGTCCCTGCCCCAAAATGTTTACAGTCTAAAAGACAGATATATTGATCAAACCAGCTGCACTGGGAGAGCTAGGGGAGGAGAGCTAATTTAAATTGTATTTCACAGATGGGTAAATGGAGACACCCAGTAGATTAAACTCCATGTCCAAAGCAGCACAGTGGCTGAACGGTAAAGTCGTAAATGGAATCTGTAAGTCCAGACCCCGATCTCCTTTTCCAACCAATAGACAACACTATCTCCCTTACCTTGTGAACTGTATAAAATATGCATTATTGTTATAGCCTGTCGGTCTCAGGATGTTAGAGAGACAAGGTGGGTGAGGTAATAAAAGATATGGTCCAATAAAAGATATTACCTCACCCACCTTGTCTCTCTGTATGTAATATGGCATCTGATGCAAGATGACAAAATTTTCACCTTGTTCAGGGAAAGTAAAAAACACACTGCCCTTCAGAAAGGGTCTTCAGGTATGATCTTATTCAGGTGTTCCCAAAAAAAAATCCTTTGAAGCTCACAGACATCACTCATTAAAATATTATTGTGCCTGTTTGTTTGGTTTCCCTCTGCCAGACAAATGAAGAGACCACAAAGTCAAATCAATGGGAAGCACATCTCAGCCCTGATCCAAGCTTTGGATCAGGTCCATATGTACTGGAAAAAAATACTCCTGAACAGCATAGCTTGACAGCAGGGGCATCTGTAAATACTGCAGTATGAATTCTGTATTTGAGAGCAAGGGAAATAAGGGTCTGTAACAGTATTCATAAACACATGACAGAATAAAAACCCAATTCATAGTATTGCACCATTTAAAAGTGATTAAAATGAGGAAATCTTAACATTGTGGGGTTTCCCCCCTCTTCTCTTAGCTATGGACCAAGGAGTATGCTCTGTCTGCTGTGATGCAAAAACACCTGTATGAGAAACATGAGAAGATTATCCAAGGTGTTTTAAGCCGATTAGGCGGCCTCAGTGAGGAGTGAGTATGGTCTTATCACTTTTAAGAAATGCTGTAAAACTGCAGGTGTAATGCAAAACTCTAGGATAATCCAGGCTTGGGTGGGAGTGATAAAGAGGGACTCTTCAGTTATTCATACCAAGAGAGAATTACCATAGGTTTTGAATTGAATGAGCATTAATTTTTCACTAGCTAAAACTGCAAAAATCCTATGATAAGGAAAAGCAAACATCCTCACTGTGTCATATTAACGCTTACTAGTAATAGTGATGGGTTACACATGGACCTTTCCTCCTGGTAGGACAATCTGTGGTTTGTCAAAGGGTTTGTTCTCAGTATATTTATTCTTGTTTCTAAATCATCCCTAACTTTGCACTCATAAATTCGCCTGCTACCTAGGAACTGGATTTCTCTGCCTCACTTTGTAGCAGGCCAGGGTTCCTGCTATACACCAACCATAGCCTCCCACAAGATGAAGTGCTCAGTTCACTGGTCTTCTCTCTTGACCTTTAATCCTTTCTGCTTTTAATCCGATACACAACTGTACATATCTGTTAATACACTTACTTCTTCCTGCCCACTCTCTCTTCCTGTCTTGATGAAGAAAACTACAACTTCATCCCATCTTTCAGATAAATGTCTTAGAGATACAGTTCCTTTGGGCAGGAGTAGCCTTCTCAATAAACAACTCCACGTATTCTGTCTGTCTTTTTTCATTAAGACACCAAGTGTCTTCATTTGACCATAACTTTGACATTGTGTGTTACTTTGAAATCTTTCTCCTAAAGTATGCATGCAGATCTGCCTATCACTATCTCTGCAATATTACCACTATATACCACCGTCTTGACACCACCGTTGCATAAGTCCTCATGTAGTCCTTTATTTCCTCTGACTATTGCAATTCTTCTCTGGGACCTCCACATCCTGAGTCTCCATTATGTTCAGAAAGCTGATGCCACCCTTCTAACACACACAAGCATGCCTACCTTGCCCCACATCCTGAGACAACTCCATTAGCTCCCCATCCATGTCAGGAGGTGGCTCAAAATTGCCCTCTTTATTTCTTAAAATGCACCATGAACTTCCTCTACCTGCTCCCCTCCACTCAAACGCTTGTCTTATCTCTGTCCCACAACACAGTACCATCGCTGCTGGTGGCAAAGAGTGTTGTGCAGCTCCTGAAATTTGGAATAGCCTTCCCATATATCCACCCGTATACACATGCACTTTCCATCTCATTTCAAATGAGGAGATCTTTTACTGCATTATATAGGCTTCTTAATTTCTTTCCCTCCTCTCTTTTTATTTTTACTTTGTCACTTCAAAGTTGGAAAATTGTCATAGTGACATCCGTACTGTATAACTCTGTAAAGCATTTTGGGATATCATTTGTAGGACAGCCCCTGCATTGTATTTGTTGTAACTCTTTCATCTGTGAGCTATGACCATCACTGTTGAACATAAATACGCACAATAAAGTAGTTTGGTTGATAAATGGAGATTAAAAAGCCATGATCCCTTTCACAGGTCTGCTAAATACATATTACGGAAACACAGGCTCTTGTTGTGTACAGTTCTCAGAAGGTTAGCTGTCCGAAATGTTGCTATGGCTACTCTGACTCACATGAAAATGTCCCAGAAGAAAAGCTTGCTTCAGGAGCTAAGAGAGCAACATACTCTTCAAAAGAGTTCCTCACACTGTCAAGATGAACACCAATGGCAACTACAGAAAGCAATGGTATTTATCATTTCCTGACCGTTTTCACTATAGTTCTTCCCTTGTATAATGTCTGGCATTGAAAGCAGCCTAGGGAGTCCCAAAAATTAAAGAAATACCCATCATTGACATGTCAGGTGGCTTAGCACAAGTATCATTTCAATAGAAAATTACGGTTTCCTGCAGCCTTAGGTATACAAAGGACATCACTCCTCCTTTAACTGTAAGGCTCCTCTAGCAAGAACAACAAAGATTTTTGTTTTTTATTTGATATGAAAGCAACAGTTGAAACATACAGTGCGAGCATGTAAAGGAAACAAGCCCATGCAACAAGGTGAGAAATTCCCACCAGAGCCGCGAGTAATCGTGCACTGTAAAGACCTTTCGTTGGGGTAAAGGGTTCCTATGTCTCTCAACAGACCCAAAAATATGTTCTGTGGTGGTCATTCACTCCATTCGAGAAGCTGACCATCTTCTCTTTTTCCTTCCCTAACTTAGCAATGTCCTCTAGCTGATCTATTTTATGTGTTTCTAGAGTTGATGGGAGTTAGACACTCAAGAACGGCCAATGAATATATTTGTCTCTGGGAAAGAAGTATAGTTTGTATCTGCATGACCTTTCTGGAAAGTTAATCTTCAGTTCAATTATTTTCTAATGTATACTTAATATAGATTTCAAATATCAACGTTCCCATCAGGCACTCAGGTTCGTTCCCAACCTATCCAACACTGCTGGATATGCAAGGTTGAATTTCCTATGAAACACAATGTAGCTGTATGACCTATGGAAAGTGCCTTCAGAAGCTAACTACAACTGTAGCAGATGAGTAGCTTCTGTAAAACTCAGCCCTGGTCTTTCTTCAATTGCCTGCCTATTATTTGACTCTATCTTTCATTCTGTGCTTTAAGTAGGAGGGTCAGCAACTTTGTCTGCAACCAGATGCCAGTATAATTTGGATACCCATTTGGTATGGCTTTGTCCATCAAAATATTCCCTATTGAATGTAAAAGTCTTGGATATTATAAATACTGCCTCAGGTTAAAACAAACACATTTTTACCACATTCCTCCTGTTTTTTTCATTTAACCTACCTCCCACTTGATACCCACATGGACACTGATCAGCAGCAGAGACTCTGTTCCCCAGCAAGATTCTGGATAGATCAGGTGCAGGGTATGAGGCATATTCTTTTCACCACCCCCGTCTTGTACTGCTCTGTAGAGGCCAGCCACAAACTGGCCCTCTAAAGAAATGCCAAGAACAACACCTTATAATTCCCCCTGCCACAGGAGAAAGGGGAAGGAGCTGACTAGCAAAAAAAGACAAAATCCAAGAATGTTAAATGGGATCCTCCAAAACTAGACTCCAGAGCCCTTACATGAGCAAGGGTGGGAGGGGATAACAGATTGTCTGACTGAGAGTCTGTAAATTGTTTACTTTTACAGTCTTTTTTTAAAAGTCATTTAAATTTGAGCATATGCCGTTTTAGATGAGCTGCTAGATAGCGTAATGGGGGCAATGAATCTTCTAATTTAGTATAAAAATGTAAATGTCATTTAGGAAAACAGCAACACAAACCCAAAGTTCAACTATGATGAGATGACATTTGTGCCTTGTAAAAGAAGAAAAACAGGTAAATAAAATTCCTGTTGGCTTAAGACAGAAAGAAATCAGAAACTTCTGCCTGAATTATAAATAAAGATATGTCAAAACAGTCCAGCATTAACATAGGCACCCTCACTCTCCAAAATAACTGTGGGTAGTTATAGTTCTACTCTCATTTTTTACTTTCCGTGAGGAATGTAGTTACTTCGAGCAGCTGCCAGATTAATTTTATTTTGTTGGAAGCTTACCCTCAAAATAAAAAGAAAAGAAAAGAAAGAATGTCCACATTTAATTCTAAATAGCATTGATTTGAAATGCAGTTTTTGTAAACACTCTCTTCAGTGTTGTTCCTGTTTTATCCCATCCTATCCCCTTACTCATATTAGTGTCAGGTTTCAGAGGTGTAGCCGTGTTAGTCTGAATCAGCAAAAACAAACGAGGAGTCCTTGTGGCACCATAGAGACTAACGAATTTATTTGGACATAAGCTTTCGTGGGCTAAAACCCACTGATGAAGTGGGTTTTAGCCCACGAAAGCTTATGCCAAATAAATTCGTTAGTCTCTATGGTGCCACAAGGACTCCTCGTTTGTTCATATTAGTATGATATTTTGGAAGGACAAGATGTGTCACAGCATAAGGACTCAATCTGAAGGATTTGAAATCTGCTGTAATCATGGGACTCATCTGAATAGTCTGAGCTCTACATAACATACTGTTTTTAAACACTGAACTATTTCTCCTGGAAGCTGTCTGCTATAATGACAGTACCTTGCTCTTATTTGGCACTTTTCATCAGCAGATCTCCAAGCACTTTACAGAAGAGGTCAGTATTAGGACTGGCTGGTAAACAATTCAATTTTGCAAAAAGTTTCAAGGTTTCAAAATTAATTTTTGTTCCAATGCAGAACAAAAATTAGAGCTTCTGGAATTTTTCACAAAAAACATGAGAGACAGAGACCAACCACTCCCCACCACACACCTCCCCAGCCAGTAGCCTAGTAGTTAGAGCATTTACATTGGATGTAGGAGACCTGGTTCAGTTCCCTGTTCTGCCAATTCAGAGTGGGTTGGTTTCCTCTCTCCCCACTTTCAGAAATTCCAGCCTGGACCCGAGAAACTTCCTGATGAAATTTTCATTGAAACCATCACATTTGCACAAAACTTTTCAGTTTTGGCAAAACAGTTTTCAATGGAAAAGTTTTGCTGAAAATTTTTCAACCAGCTCTAGTCAGTATCATTATCCCCATTTTACAGGTGGAAAATCTGAGGCACAGAAGTGAAGTGACTTGCCCAAGGTCACTCAGCAGTGAACTATGCCATGTTATGTGTTAGCTTTCTGTATGCTCACAGATGGGTAGCACATAGAATTTGCTTCAAAAATGTGATATCTTTTCAGTGCTTCCCATTTCGGGGGGGACTTCTTGAGATCCAGCAAATCCCTAGATTGCTGCGTGCAAGCAGCACCTGACCAGCTTCTGCCATCGCTAATAGGTATCAATTAAGTAAATAATATTTATAGCAGACCAAGTCAAGGGATATAGAAATAATTGCAATGCCTGGAACATGTTCCTTTGTAGAAAGTCTTTTTACCTTACTTATTCTCTCTGTCTTTTACTGAATTTATGTTTAAAATGTGCCTCATTTTCCCCTTCTCTCCTCCTATACCCTCTGCTAGAGAAAACAGGTGTTTTGAATTACTGTTATCTTCTAAGACCTTACAATATACTACCCTCATCACCCTCTTATCTGAGTGCCTGAGCATAGTTGTTACTTAGTGTCTTGCACTGCAAAGGATCCCAAAGTAGTTTTCCTACTTTCCATATAAAAATTGTTTCATTCAAAATGCAGCTGCCTCTGGGATGAAACAAATCATCCATTTAACAGTGCCTAGCAAAACTGAACAAAAGTTTAGGACAAAATAGAAAAAAAAATACAAAACAATTGAAACCGTGGTAAGCAATTGTAGTTACCCAGATTGGAATAAAGCCAGGTCATTGAGGTTAGCACACTAGCTGTTGAAAGCTTAGCTACCAGAAGTAGTCAAGACCTCAATTTCAAATCTCATCTGAAAGAGGACACCTTCGGCAGCACACTACTCCCCAATAGTACACATGATGAACATTCTAAATACACAACCACTCACCCATCTCTGGAGGGAGCCAGAAATAGGTACATTTAGATGTAGTCAAAAGACAGCCTTGTTGCAGGGGTGAAGGGAATTTCCTTTAAAAACCACATATACAATAAGGTCAACTTCGATATAGCTATTAAGATCAATGGACTTATCCCAAGGATGTCTTTGTCTTCTAAAGAATCAAGAGTCTAATGTCCTGTTATTTGGCATTAAAGGTATGTAGCTCTCATAGCTTTTATGTGATTACTAGGAATCTCACATTCTGGAAGAAGAGGAGAAGCTGGAGGAGGAAACTCAACAAACACGTTTGGAATTTCATCAGCAGTTAGTTGCAGAAATTCAAGAAGCTCTTCAGCTTGTACAGCAGCACATGGAACAAGTGACTGGGCAGGCCTTGCTCCAGCATGCCCGGCAAGAAGCTGCTAATCAAAGCTCCGAGGACGGAGAGGACTTCAAGGTATTTGATCAGCCTTTTTAGGAAATGGGAAATACTTTGTCCGATAAAATGGAGGGACGCTAGAGTAATTTATTATCCAGCATAAGAAAGCATCACAAGCGGAAGAACTACAACCTGTTATATGATCTTACAAATGCTGTATAGAGACGCAGAGCTCTTCTGCTGACTCATCCTGGCAGCCAGACCAGGTCTTAGGCCCAATTCAGAAGTAGAAGAGAGTTGAGAGCTCTCTCCAAGACAGCTTTAGTATGGTTAGGAGCATATTGGGACCATTTACTACCCAACACTACCCATTTACAAGGAGTTTAAAGTTAATAAATACTATGAATTAAACAGAATGATTGCCAAGTCAGTCAAGATGAAAATTGGTTGATCCATATTAAAGTATATAGCAAGATTGACAGAGATAAGAGGAGAAGCTGCTTAATTTACTGTACGGTGAAAAATGGGAGAGCTGTGTGTGCATTGTAGCTCAATAGCAGTCTAGTGTGGAATGGGTTATGGAGACTGAACCCCTCCTTCATAGAAGGGGTCCCCTCCAGATGCAGATTGAAGCATATTAGTAGGGAAGTTTGCACTGTCACTATTCATATTGTACTGTTCTGTGGATAAACAGAGGGCTCTATTTTCCAGACCATCAATCTGGCACATTTCACAAGTACTAAATTCACAGACATGCACTTGCACACATACACACTCACACTTAGAAAATGAAGTTTCTGCAAGTCTTCTATTTTTGCTTCTGACGCAGACAGACAGTTTAGTTCTTCCCTTAATAAATTCATAGCTACTTGTACTGTGTATTGCAGGAGAGACTGATAGAAGCAGCTGTAGAGAGTGTATATGTGACCAGCAATGGTGTCAATAGACTGGTGCAAAGCTACTACCAGCAAATAGAAAAAATCATGGACGGGCATGAAGACAGAAAACTTCAACAACTGAAATCCCTTCAGGGTATGAAGAATAGCAGTAATTATGGGGTGTTAAGCTTTACTGTTGACAAATGCCATTAATGTGTATGCAGTATGTGACAGGCCCCCTTCTTTGCTACCTGGTAAACCTCACTGCCTGGCCAGTTCAGGTGGTTCTGCAGTCACAAATGTATATCTTTTGCCAAGGTGTGCCTTCTTACATAAGAAAACTATGCAACATTGGTTTGTGGCAAGGACCAGCTTCCCCTGCAGCCCACCCCCACCTGAGCTTCCTTCTCAGCCACCTTTGCTGCCTGTTTCCTCTCCTTATATTCTCCCTCCCCACCCCCCAATTACCTTGTTAACCCAGGTGATTGCCACCCAGGTGATCACAATCCCCTACCAGAAAGTATCTAATTGCCCTCAGCTGGGCCTGCCCTCAGCTAGGCTGCAGCATTGTCAGTGATCAGGGTGCTGCTCTTAGCACCCTGTCACAGCATATAAAGATATCTTTAAACATTACAGAATGTAACAGTACATCACAAAGTAAATTGAATTTGTAGATCTGCTTGCACCTTCAAAAGCAATACAAAGTGCTGGAAGTATAATAATGATAGGCTTTGGTTTCCAAAATGTTACCAGTTCACCGAACTAAGACCGTGGCTATACCAGACAATGACCACCACCTCCCATTCAGTTTTCTGTGCTGAAGCATGCGATATAAGGGGTAGGAACTCCAATGCATTTTAAAGCCTGCATTGTTGAACAGGAGCCATGCAGTAAAGGGTCCCGGTATTTGTCATCCAGGGTCTGATCCTGAAAGATGCTGAGCGAGTGTCCTCAACTCTTGAAGGCTTTGGCCCTGATTCAGTAGTGCATCCCTAGTCAGCTCTGAACTTAAAAACCTGCTTAAATCCGAGTGTCTTTGATGGGTCTAAGCAGCTGGCTACAGTTAAGCATGTGCCAAAGTATTTTCCTAATAGGGATGTATTTAAACATATGTCTAAACGGTTTGCTTAAGCAGGGCTTTGAATATCACTCATGACTGAGTGACAAAATATGGAGTGAGAGTTATGGCAGTTACTCATTTTGTTGTCTGTTTGGGTAATATTAATGGTTCAGCACATGAGTATTACTGCTTACAAGCTGTGTGAGATTTAAATTTATAAGCAGCTGCTAAGAATGTGGTTTTGCTCTTTGATTGAAGATGCAGTTAGGGGGAAAAATACTGTCATTGCACTACTTGAGTATAAACCTACTAGCATGATAGAGCAGAAATTTATTTATGTTGGTAATAAAAACAGGAGTGTATCAGGCCCTCGATAATACTGTCTAGACCTGTGTGGCCCAAGACACACCCAGTGAAGAATCACAAATCAAACAAAAAGCAATCATGAATTACTAGAGTGAAAGAATAGTGAAGACCCATGTGCTTTTACTGCTATCCATCTTAGGTTTCTAATAGCTATGAACCACTTCTTCTCTTTTGTGATTCTTGTTTTTATTACGTTAGGAGACAGAGTTCTATAGCACTTTCATCTATCTTTTAACTCTTGCCACCGGTCATTAACCATAACCTGTCTGAGAAACTTCAAATTGGTGCCTTTTCTTCAGATGCTGCCCTGTGACAGCTGCTTTTTGCTCCTTGCCTCTTGTTTTGCTTTCTCCTTATCTTACTGTCTACTCTAGGTCCAACTGTGCCTGACGTACTGCTTGGAAACAGCTGCCATCTCATCCACTTGGAAGTCTGCCATACTATTTTCAGGAGAGGATTGGGCTTGTGCTTGCATCAAGTGCTCCCCTGTGCTTAGGAAAACAAGGAGCCTGCAGCAGCGGTTAGCATAAGCGGTGCCTGTGCTCTTCATTAAAGCATAAGACTAATAAAACTAAACAAGTTTAGAAACCGGGGACTACATCCATTCCTTGTTTTTGACTTTAGTGTAGTTAAACCCAGAATGGATTAGGCCCTTGAGATTAGCCGGGGTTGTTCTTGCCTTCTTCATCGCCCCCTCAAAAAGAAATCAAAATGGGTATGCCTTGAAAACTTCACAACCTAGTTGTTAGTATGAAGGACTTGTGGCTAGCAGAAGTCTAGATTGTAACCTGAGCTGAGTTCTATGACCGGTCACTTGAATTTCTTGTACATTTCTTTTCAGTCTACTGGAAAAAGTGCATAAAAATAATAATTGCCTGAAAATTACCACCTGCATCTGAGCCTGTCTGAAAAAGTGACTTACAAAAAGACTGACCAATTTTTCAACAAATTACAGTAGCATAAGTATACACACCAGGTGTATGTAAGATGTACTTTACACATTAAAACAGCACTAACTTTGGAAAGACTGGCATTGTATTGAATTGTGCTGATAAGAAAATTAATATATTGTCACAACTCAAAGTAAAAACGTCACAAGATTTGTTATTTTGAGCAAAAGATTTTACAGAAATGTTATTTTAGCAGAAAGAACTGAAAGTAACAGACTCAGAAAAAAAGAAGAAAATGAACAAACATTGAAAGAAAAAGTGAATCAAAGCACCCTGAACATGTCATCAGCAGTCCATCAAAGGTGAGAGCAGGCGGGAATATTACTTATTCTTGATATTTAAATCATGAGTTGTTTCAGTTTTGTGAACTGAGCTGTGATTAAATAACTTCCAACAACAGACCACAAAAACTTGTTCTTGACATTTGTTTGTGTTTTGCCTTTAAAGAAAAAGGAAAGTGTATTCTCAATTTGTGTGTATCTGAGCTCAGAGAATTGCTCTGTCACAATTAAACATTTTGATGTTCATTAATCACAATACATAAAGTAACACATAAGGCACTTGCTATCAGAACAGTTTTTTGTAAAAAAAAAAAATTTAAACCATTTACTAAACTTTTAAAAGTTCTTTGGAGTAAATATGAGATTGAGACTTTCAGATACATCATATTCTGTCTAATCTGGTTAAAACAATGAAATCAACCTTAGTACAAGCAGAAGTACATAGTGATGGAGAATGAAGTTTTTGGTTAATCCAAAGTAGTATTTTAGAAATTAATCAATCAACACTTGCACCACACTTGTCATTGTGATTTCTTCTAAGGCCAAATCCTGGTTCTAAGGAAATCAGTGGGGAAGCTCCTATTCATACAAATGGAAAGACTCCCATTGATTTCACCAGTAGCGGGTTTAGGGCCTCAATTCAGTTGTTTCATTCCATGCTCAAAGAGCAATTAGAAAAAGCCAACATTCTATAAGCATTCAACATTAAAATGGGCCTTGATCATTTAATTTGGTGGTGTACAGGTGGCGTTCATATTTGAGAATGCTCTAGGACAGCGTTTCTCAGCCTTTTTGTGCTGGCGACCCCCTTTGGACTTAAAAAAAAAAAAACAAAAACCAATCATGACCCCTCCCTCCCCCCTTACTAAAGCTTGAAAAGGTAGGGGCTGAAGTGGCCTGATCCCTGCTACCTGGGGCAGAAGCTGCCCCTGCCCCACCTAAACCTGTCCCGCAACCCCCAGGTTGAGAAACACTGCTCTAGGAGATCAAAGGCACTAATAGTTCTCAGGAATCTTGTGGGTGATTAATAGTGCTAATAACTGATCAGAGGAAAGAAGTATTTCAGATTCAGCAGAGTTACAGAAATTCAGGTTCTACTGTACTAATATTAATCTTTGGCTAGCAAAACAAGCCAAGCAAAGAATACATTTGCTAATACAAGTTTGGCTCAGTCTCAACTAAGCTGTGTAATGCCAAGAGTGAAATTCCTAATTCTTTTCTCTTCTAGCTGTGCTTCCACAAGTAACTTCTCTTGGCACGTGGAGGATACAGGGAAAGACAAAAGAGCTGATTTGAAAATACCATGCAGAATATAACATTGTTTTTTAGGTCAGCCTCTAACCTTAGAACATTACAAAAGAGGGCCTAAATCTTACCAAAAGACTATCCAAAGCAACATATGCCCCTGCAGTTTGGAGGAAGAGCAAACCTACCAAAAAAGAAAAAAAAATCATATTGCATTTAGTGACTATGGAAGCTGTTAAAATTAATTGCTTTGGCAAAATTAATGGTCTTTTTATGGCTGCAAGGGGTGATTTCATTAGTCAGAGTTTCTCACTCTGTAAGAAACTTTCTAAATAGCACAAAAATAGATCTATTCCCTAGGTTAAACTCACTAAACCCTCTTGAACTAGCCTGCTTTCCTTCACCAGGATGTTGTTACAACAACAAAAATTCTTGGCTCAGTTTGATGTGCAGCAGCAGGTTCGTCTGGACTCCTTAAAACAGAAGATATTGGTATTGCATCATCTAGAAACACAGCTTGAAAATCAGCTAAAGGTAAATCAAGGTAAAACAAGTTGCAGGTATAGCTAGCTGAGGACCTGCTCCTGCTTCTGTTGAAGTCAGTGGCAAAACTTCTGAGGGGCTCTGAGGGCTTTTTCCAAAGCCCATTGAAGTCAACAGAGAAATGCCCCATTGACTTTAGTGGACTGTGGATCAGGCTCTCTAAGTTTGCAGAAGCCTTTTCAAGAGCAGACCAAATAACGTGTTAAGTCCAATCCTCCTAAAGGGTATTCCATTAGCACAGAGTACAACATTTGATGAGTAGTTTTTATTTTAATGTGCATTTTTCTCACCTCAAGTTCCCTCTGGAGCCAGTTGTGAGCATGCCCACCCTATCATGGAGAGAACATTTTTGTCATCTCCACATCACTTTCTCTTTGCTGAGCAAAAGCAGAAGACATAGCCTTCTTATTACTACTACTAGTACATACTTCGGTTCACAGATGTGACCCTGGTGACTGCCTTGCTCTTCACACTTCCAAACCCACCTATGAGTAGGCTAGGATGGCCTGGAATCAAACTGTTTGAACTTTGTTAGCATTCTTCTCTTTTTATAAAGTATCATAATAAGTCTTCCTTTGTGTTCAGCAAGCAGAACAGGATTTCATCACTGAGCTGGCTGCGCTGGCCCGAGTTCCCCTCACAGTGCGCAAGCAGCCTTTAAATAGGAGCATTCAATCAGGTTAGTGTTGAGATGCTTGCTTGTCTGGGGTTTTTTGTTTTTGTTTTTTTTAAAGCTTCATGCATGGCAAGGGATTTGCAAATTATACACACACCCTCTTTTCTTATAAAATTAGCTCTGAAAACAGGCAATATGTTCAGCCAATTTAGATTCCAATCCAGGCTGATATAGGGCCTCAGATTTACGGGCCAGCACTTTTACCCATTTACCTTCCCCAGATCAGTGTATACTCAGTGGGAAAATAGAGAGAGAGGTATTCAAAAAATAAATGCTCTTGGGGACCCCTCTGTTTAAATGGGTTGAACTATTTATCTAACAGAGGACTCTCCTAAGCTCTTTCAAGCCCAAGACATTAGTTTGCTGGCTATCCTCCTGTCTGACCACACTAGGAAGGATATTCTGAAAGGCAAAAATGGCAGCGAGGCACCCATCTCGCACTGAAAATCAATGGGAGTTGAGGACATAACGGCCATTAGTACCTTTGAAAGCCTCCCCCTGAGTAGGAAAGGCTTCCAAGTTATCTGCCACTCCTAGCTGAGAGTGGTGGACTTTCCTGCTGGGTTACATCTGGTAAAAGATAGATATAGGCACCAAATAAAAAGATTCAGCTCTGAACATGCATCAGGGAAAAGAGAGAAACTCTGCTAAGTAGAGCTGCTTCATGAAAGTTACCATATCATTTTACACATTTGTGTGAGTCTTACCAGAGATATATCCAGCAGCTTAAGGCCTTAGCTAGCTTAATTCTTCAAACCAGAATAACTTTGACACCTTCGGCATCCTCTTCAGAAACACCTGACCATAAAGAAGGACTCCATTCACAGATTAAAATTATTTGTAATCAAACAAGCATCAGAACTGAATCACCCAGGTTTCTCTCTCTGGATGGGGAGGAAGGAATAATCCTCCTTCATTCCCCACCAGCAGCCTAAAAAAGTAAACTCCTATGAATAAGTACAATCATAGGGGCTTTGCATACTTACAGGAATTAACTGCAGCCTTAATTAATTCACTGTTTAAACTGACATGGACAAATTTGTTAAAATGACATCTAGTTTTGTGCCTACCATCCATTGTGGAGCCAAAACTGCAGGTGCAGTTAAATGAGTGTGCAACCTCCAGGTTGAAAATCCAGGACCTAGTTGAATCCACTAATCAATTGCAGTAGTGAAATATTTAGGGTGAGGTTTCAGTTAGGACCACAAGTTCAATTAAGAGTCAATGGCACTAATACTCCTAATTAACTCATTTAGGCACTTTTGAACCCACCCTACCTCATCCCCATGCTATCATCCTCCCCGCAACCATTGCTTGTCCCTGTGGGTCCTTAACTATGAATGCAAAACTAGAGGCACGGTTGAGACCACACAAAAAATATGGATCATTAACATCAAAAGTTTGTCTACACGTTTCCTTAAAATTACAAAGCAATGGCCTTATTCTTTTGGTTGTAGCTCACAGCAATCTCCATTAGTTTGCTAATGCACTTATCTGCTTAAAAATTACCTAATTCTGGCATAATGTGTTAAAGCACATTCTAAAACATGTCAGCCTTTGACAGGTGTGAAAAGAAAGACATGCTCACTGCATGGTAAATCATAATTGAAAGAAGTTACTGTGGTGATTTTAACCCACATTTCCATGCCTTTTCAGGAAAAAGCCAAAAATCAAAAAGGAAGAACTCCCATTCCTGGGGAAAAGAGGACTCTGGTGACTTCAATGAAAAATGACCAGATGCCCCAGGAACAGACTTCTGTATCAGTCAGAAGCTAAAATGGATGCCTACTGAAAAGCATGTTTATAATAACTGATAAAAAAATCTGTTTCTTAAGAAAGTACATTGATCTGATTGAAAAAATACAGTATCTACATTCTTTCCTCTTCTGACCAATATTCTTGTTAAAGCATGAACATACTCTTCCCATCATCCTTTTTAAATGCAGGAAGAGCTTCTAAATTTGGCTCCCTAGTCTGTTTTTTTAAATTTTCACTTTAATTTTAGATAGCAATAAGAAATTGTACGTTTCTGTCCAAGCTTGGTATTTCTTACACATGGGGATAGAGTCACAGCTGGTGTAATTCAACCTAGGTCTATTGAAGTCAGTGGAACTACGATGATTTACAACAGACAAAATCTGGCCACTAGTATCTAAATAGCCACTGCCTCTGTTTCCTGGACAAAAGCAGGTGCTGATTGTTGGCTTCTGGAGGAGCAGAGCTGACAGCTTTTGCTATCAACATAATCACTGTTTGAAACATCTCCTAGGGTGCTAACTAGACAAGGAGAAAGAGGCTCAAAGCTGAAGTATGCCAGCTGATTATTGGGAGGACAGCTCAAATTGGTTCACTGGTTGCTGGGGCTTGATGCATTGAACAGATCCTTCTGACAGGCACTACAAATATATCCAGCAGATATATCTTGCTTTTCAAGAACCCTATAGAGCCTTTAAGAAGAGTATTTATCCCCTGAGTGACCTTGGGCTTGGATTGCTTTTAGAAGATGGCTCTTGTCCCTGATAGCATGATTACCATGCTTTCTTGCACCCCGCTTTCCTTCAGCAAACAGAAGACATTTGTAACAGGGGGAAAGAGCACAGGGCAGATCAGTGTATATTTATCTTGTATGTTTTGGCAGGCCTAAGTCAGTTGCAGCCAGAAAGTGAAAGCCTAATATTACAATGAAACAAACTCCCTTCTGTTATTAAAATAGAGAATTTTGGTCTGAAATTTTATTTTGTTGGGTTTGTTTTGTTTTCTAATCAGAAACAAATTGCAGAGGCAGCATGAAACTGAAATTGATCAAGGGAAGAATTCAGAGATGCAGGAGAGGTGCAACATGTAGTGAAAACAGTTCTCAGAATTGTCTGTCAGCCTGAATGTTGAGTCCTAAAGCATTTTTCTGGACAAACTGAACTACTGCAAATATTTACTGAGCAGGATCTTTGGGGAACAAATAAGGACCTCATTAAAAACTAAGAAGCCTTATTCCACAACTGTGAAGCAGTGTAAACACAACTCCACTACATGGAGATACAGCATGTGGCCATCTTCCTTAGGCTGATCATGAAACATTCCCATTTGGTTCTGTACAAAAGAACAGGAAGCCAGCTGTGTCCACCAGCTAGAGCTCTGAGAAAGGTTTCCTTTTTGTGAAAAGTAGCTGGATTTGCAGAAAGTCCCCAGCTCGCTGAAATCAAGAAAAAGAAAAGGGGGGACACCGCCTCCAAAAGGAGAGCTTATTAGAGCGGGGGGGATGGAGGGGAGGAAGAATATTCTGACCCTTTGGCCAGCCAGGATCCAGGAATTAGAGTTCCAGATTGGCATAAAAACTTCGTATGGTAATGGGTCTCTCTTAGAAATCTGTGCCTTTAGGTTGAATAAAGATCTGAGTGTAGCCTCAAGCAAATTCAAGCCCATCGTGTTGGGCAGTGGTACAAAGGGGGCCTCTTTCTGGCAGGGTGGGGATGGGAAACGAAGCCTGTAGAGGATAGATGGTAGCTCTGGAAGGTCAAACTACAAAGTAAACAAAAATCATTTGTAAGTATTGACTGATAATAAGCAGTATTAGTTAACAGTAGACAGCCTTAAAAATGAGGAGTAAACATAGCAAGGCCCTCATTGCAAAAGTACTGTCCACTGCAGCTCCCATTGAATTCTTCTGAAAAACCAGACAAACAGTTTCAAAAGAGAATGCAGAAGCAGTGCACATTCATGACCCCAGCTGAAGTCAGATACTCAGCACTTCTGAAAATCAGATGGAGACAACAATTGAAAACCTGACAAGTGTTTGAATATGAGATGCTAGATGAAAACTTAAATCTAGGGGAAACCTGTGACAAAGTGACTTGTTCCCATAGAAACTGAAGCAACTGACATGTGAAGCCCTGTTACTAGAGAGGGCTCTGTCTGAGCAAGAATAGTACACAGCATTCAAAGCAACAGGTATTTAAGCCCATGATTACCGAGGTGAGATGACTGTTCATTAGGGCAGCAGAGCCCAACCTCTCTCATTGTAAGAAACAGAGCGGACACTGATGACAAACGTTTCCTTTTACATTTTCCCCACCCCCCATCCTTTCCTTATCCTGGGGTACTGTATTTATTTAGCAGAACCTAAGGCTCTTATAAGCCCTTTCCACCTAGCATCTCAGGTCAGATGCATCTTGCTGAGCCATTAAACAGCAAGAAAAAAAAGAAGCAGTCTAAACCATCACTAAATCCCCCCTCCACAGCTCTTTTGGCCATAGTCCTTGTACAGGCCTTCTGGCATATTCTGCTGATCTCTCTCAGGTCTTTCCTAGCAAAGGCCAACAGGTTATATACTTCCTGATGTGTAAGGCTAATTAACAAGGGCCATCTCCCAAGTACTCCTAAATGTTTAACCCCGGCTGGTCCGGATACCACCCTGTAGTGTGTAGAGAGGGGTAGTACATTTTATTTCCAGGGACCAAATTATGGTGTGCTTTCACCATGGCTGGTTTCTCCCCCTGAACGCCAAAAGAGCCATCACAGTAGCCTTTTTAAAGGCTAGGCCAGTATAGAAGTGTTCAGAATGGATAACTGTAATTATAGTTACAGGGCCAGAGCCTCAGCCAGCGCCAAGTGGTGTGTCACTCCGTCAAAGTCAATGGAGCTATGCCACCGTCTGAGGATCTAGCACAATACTTAGGTAAAGAGTTGATGCAATGGCACAATGTGGAAGTTATTACTGTTAGACAAAAGTGTGCTACCATTATTGCACGTGGCATTTCTCCTTAGCTTCAATGTAAGCTCTTACCTTGAATGTCTGGGTTTTGATCAGTGCTTCCCACACAGAGCTGGTAGCATGCAGCCTGCAACCAGGTGGTAGCTATGCTCATTAAAATTACAATGGTGGCACACCAAGGGCTTATTGAGTTTAGATGTGGTGTGCTAATGCTTAACATTGTAGAATGGCTGTTTTAGAGTAACAGAATCAATAAAAGTCTAAAAGATATTTAAATGGACATGAGGCATCTACCGTAAATACAGTAGAGTGGGATTTGATCTATTTTTTATTTTATTTTGAAACAGTGTTTTACATATTGCTGTTTTTCTATTTGCACCAAGATTTTGTAGAAATGTTATTCTTCATGGTTATCTCAGATTTGTATATTATTATTATGGAGCAGAAGCAAGATGTGGTATCTATTACATTTTTGCATTCCCTAGTCTTTAAGTCAGCTTTCAGTTTTCTTCATGCCTTTTTATTATAGTTCATTATCTTTCTTCTTTTTTAAAAAAATTTCATTCCAAGCAGCTAATTGTTTTTGGCTGCGTACAGTACCTAGATAATGTATTTAACTGTGTTTATATCATATGAAATGTGTATTTAGTTAATCAATTGTAAAGTTTTCCTTAAAAGCACTTTTTTTACCTACTTAAAATAGATTCATACTTTACGAATCACAACATGGCCCATCTGTGTAATAAAGTAGAATATAGTGTTTGCAGTTAATTTCTGAAAATGGAATAACCAGACCATGCACTTTATTAAACATGTTACATGCCACTGTAAATAGGTTAATCATTCTGTCAGTCAAGATCAAAATAATGCATGGTCTTTCCAAATTGTACCTCTTACAGTGTTTTGCTCTGCTATTTCAATGGATTGCTGAGCTGCAACAGTCATATTAACCTACTGGCTATACATTTTACTCACCTATTTCTCAAATGTTTTTAAATTGGTGGAACATATTTGCCCATATCTGAGCAGCGTGGCCCTGCTGACCCCCCTCAGCTATCAGAGCTATGCAGCTAGCAAGAATGCAGTTTTTAAGGTTCAAGTGGCACATATATTTTATACACTATTGTAAATTATACAGGAAAGATGCAGCATCCCATCACAATTAATATGTAGTTTAATCAATAAAACCTAGTCACGTTATAGCCATTGTGACTCATCCAGAAATTACTGAATTTTAATAAGAGAGACTGGAGATGACATTTTTTCTTCAGGAATGTGGAAATGTGCAAAAGACCTCAAAATCTAGCCAGCAGTGCCCCCTTATGGCAGCAAATATAGTTGTTCCTTCTGATAAAAAGTAGATCCAGATTCTCTGGTAGGGCCAAAGAGAGCAAATGTAGCTTCACATCACCTTTCATTCCCTGGCTTTTAGGGCTGGCCAGGGACTATGTCAGCTCCCGCCCCCCATAAGACAGAGAAGCTTCAGGGTTACTCTAACTCAGTGTTTCCCAAACTTGGGACGCCGCTTGTTCAGGGAAAGCCCCTGGCAGGCCAGGCCAGTTTGTTTACCTGCCATGTCCGCAGGTTCGGCCGATCGTGGCTCCCACTGGCCGCGGTTTGCCACTGCTAGCCAATGGGGGCTGTGGGAAGCGGCACGGGCCGAGGGACATACCGGCTGCTGCTTCCCGCAGCCCCCATTGGCCTGGAGCGGCAAACCGCGGTCAGTGGGAGCCACGATCGGCCGAACCTGCGGACGTAGTAGGTCAACAAATCGGTCCCGCCCGCCAGGGGCTTTCCCTGAACAAGCAGCGTCCCAAGTTTGGGAAACACTGCTCTAACTTAAGCCTGGCTTCCCTTGGCCACTCCAACAGCTGGAGCATAGAACCATCTCACCCATCCCCTCACCTTTTCCCCAGAAATGCCATCTGTGTCTTTGCCACACAAGGATTTTCTCACTTCCCTTAGAAAATTATTCCCTTGTCTAATAGGACAATTCCATTCTTAAAAATATTTTCCTAGTAATCAACTTAAAATTTCCCTTTCAGTTTCAACTCATTACTCCTAGTTATTTCTCCCTTTTTCCATGGTAAATATGCCCACTCCCACTTTGATGGTGACACTCTTCCTGTACCTATAGACTCTAATTCACTGTCCACTGTCACCACTTGAGTGGAATTCACACGTGTGCAGAGGGCACTACATGACTTAAGTCCCACTTCAGTCCTTTTTTGAGGGTGTAAATGGCTCGTAGTCCTTTTGTTTCCTCTGTGCACAGGAGTGAAAGTCACCCTTTTTGCATTCCAAATTTTCCGATCTCTTCACCACACCCAGTGAACAGGCTGTGGTTCAACAGCCCTTCCTGCCAATTGGTAGGGCATTTCACTCAGAGGCCAGAAGATGTAGTGGTCAAGCCGTGATCCATCATTTCCAATGCTCCAGAGTTCTCCAGCAAGATGGAATGGGGCAGGGCACGGAAAAGGTAGGTGAACCCAATTCCCGCCTCTCCACTGGGTCCAAAGCCAGGGCCAAGGGAGGAGAGGCATGGAATGTCTCAGTTCCTTCTTCCTAGTACACCTGCCTAGATTCCCCTGGGTCGCTTAATACCTCCCCTCTGTCTTTTCAGTATGGGCCATGAGCCTACTCCCCCCACTCCTAGGAAGAGTTCCCAATCAATCTCTGCAGCACAATTGGTCAAATATTTTTAGCTCCTTCCACAGTGCTCAGTGGTTCTCTGTAAGCAGGGAGTCAGGATGGAAAAAGGGTCAGGCCCCTATCCTCCCAGCTGGGGAGGTCTTACCCTCAATCCAGGCTCTTCTTCTGTGGGTTGCTGTGTCCCCAGAAGCTGCACATTGGCTTCCTCCCTTCAGACAGTCCCTCATCCACTCCCCCTGCTTGACATTGAGTCCCCTTTTGAGCAGATCCTCCATTTGGAGCATGCGATGCAGCTCCTGCAGGGTGGGGTCCTCTTGGCCAGGTATTGCCCATTCACTCCATTTATGTGTCTGTAAACCCTAGCAGAGTGACACTATATCTAATGCTTTACTGGCATCCACATATTAACATTTCTGCATCCGCACTGGTCTTCTGTTGAGGTCCCTTCCCGCCTCTGAATATTTGTTACACTTTAAAAAGTATTTTTAAGTAGGGGTTGGCCTTAGATTTACTAATCAAGAAATGTTTTGCTCCTGCTTTAGTTAAGTGCACTGCCTAGCATGATTCCCAGTACTAAGAGTCCTCAGGATGCTGCTAAGTAGCTTTGCCAGCTGACCGCAAGGTCACAGGATATAGTCGATGCAAACTTAAGGGGAAGGTACCAGGGCTTAATTTGTGCCACGGCTGAGCCCCAGCGCCCCTAGGCTGGGCAGTTCAGAGCCCCAGCACCTCTGGGCTTCCACGTCAGTTACGAAAGTAAAAAAATTATTTTTTTTAAAAAAGAGGAGCCCCGTCACCTCTTTCATTACAAATTAAGCACTGGAAGGTATTCATCTAAACCCTGATTAACATGTGGAAAACATGCCTTTTAGTGAGAGACTGAAGAAGCTTGATCTATTTAGTATCTCCAGGAGACAGTTAAGAGGTGACTTGATCACAGTCTGAAGTACCTTCAAGGGGAACAAAAAAAATGATATTAAAGGATTCTTCAAGCTAGCAGACAAAGACATGACAGGAAACAGTGGCTGGAAGTTGAAGCTAGACAAGTTCAGACTAGAAATAAGAGCCAGAGTTTTAACAGTGAGGTTCGTTAACCATTGGAACAATTTACCAAGGGTCGTGGTGGATTCTCCATCACTGGCCATTTTAAAATCAAGATTGGATGTTTTTCCAAAAGCTGTGCTCTGGTTCAAACAGGCAGTCATCCAGGGAACTCCTATGGCCTGTGTGATGCAGGAAATCGGATTGTATGATCACCATGGTCCCTTCTGGCCTTATAATAAAAGATTTGATGTAATTCCTGCATCAAGCTCATAACTTCTGTTTGAGTTACAGCATGAGGCCCATGTTATGCATGACATCAGGCTAGATGATCATAATGGGTCCTTCTGGCCTTAATCAGTGAATCCATCAAAGGCCTCCAATGAGTGCTGCCTGGGCAGACCCCACTGAAGTCAGTAGGGTCCACCTACTGAAAGCATATTGTAGGACTAGGATCCTATCAACTGGTATGGATGAGTGTGTCTGGGAATTATAGTGTTCTTTTTGCTGGCCATCAATCCATTTGTCTCCTGTATAAAGCCTGGGCATAAACACAGCTAGCCTCTTCCTAACACTTTTACTTTAACCTGTGTCATAGAGTCCCCGGGCGATGCTCTGGAACTGCTCCCTACGAAGCCAGTCAGGACTCTGGGGAAGTCTCCTTTCTGTGAGCAGACTGTCTTCAGGACATACAGCTCACACAACTTCCACCTTCCTGGATCTGACCTCGGAGCATTCAGCATCCTCTGCTCCTCCGCGCGCTTCCCACAGCGAGTCCGCCCAGGCGGGGTCCTGCGGAAGCCAGAGGGTCCTGCACCCCAACTGCGCAGTCAGACGTGATTCTCAGCCAGCCAGTAAAACAGAGGTTTATTAGATGACAGGAACATGGTCTAACACAGAGTTTGTAGGTGCAGAGAACAGGACCCCTCAGCTGGGTCCATTTTGGGGGGCAGTGAGCCAGACAGCCACATCTGCACTTCACTCTATGTCTCCAGCCAGCCCCAAACTGAAACTCTCTCCAGCCCCTCCTCCTCTGGGCTTTGTCCCTTTCCCTGGCCTGGAGGTCACCGGATTCCTTTGTTCTCCAACCCATCTCTCACCTTGAAGGGGGGAAGGGCCCAGGCCATCAGTTGCCAGGAAACAGGGTGTCAGCCATTCTCTGTGTCCAGACCCCTGCACACACCTGCCCTCTAGAGCTCTGCAAGGATCACGCACCCTTATCCCACCACCTAGATACTTAAGAACTGCATAGGGGAAACTGAGGCACCCCCACAATATTCAGAGGAAACATTAAGAACAGTCCCTCTTCATCACAACCTGATACTAGCAGCCTGGGACCAGCTAAACATGCAGTGTGCTACAGATTCATCACTGACTTAAAGCAAATACTTCTGTGTATTGAATTCATTGGGCACAAATTCATGAAGGACAGTCATGTTTTATTTAGAGATTTAGGGCTAGGAGCATCATGCACCTGAGAGGGGTGCAAAAATAGCGTTTTACACACACAACCCTGGCCAGGCACTAGTTTAGCCTCCAGAGCTCCAATCTCAGAGCTGCTCTAAGTGGTGCCCAGCTGCACCAATCTCCAAGAGGCTGTTTGGGCAACTAAATATCACAGAAGTACAGTAGCACTCTAATCATGCGTCTTTCCCCTACGTACACCCCTAAACCAAGCGTTATGAGGGACATGGCATGGAGCTGACTACACTGGCTTGATGCTACCTGGGAATTACCTTTATACTAGGGGAATCCCCAGATAGCTGCTTGTGCTGATTTTCCATCACCCTGGCAGCACTGGAGCAGTGCAAAGCCCCTGGAGCGTGGATCAAGGATCAAGCCTCTGACACCTAGAATGTGTAGCTGTGTCAAGGTTCCTTCCCCACTCTGAACTCTAGGGTACAGATGTGGGGACCTGCATGAAAATCCCCTAAGCTTATTTTTACCAGCTTAGGTTAAAACTTCCCCAAGGTACAAACTATTTTAAATGTTGCCCTTGGATTTTATTGCTGCCACCACCAAGCGTCTAACAAATATATCACAGGGAAAGAGCCCGCTTGGAAACATCTTTCCCCCCAAAATCCTCCCCAAATGCTATACCCCCTTTTCTGGGGAAGGCTTGATAAAAATCCTTACCAATTTGCATAGGTGAACACAGACCCAGACCCTTGAATCTTAAAAACAATGAAGAAGCAATCAGGTTCTTAAAAGAAGAATTTTAATTGAAGAAAAAGTAAAAAGAATCACCTCTGTAAAATCAGGATGGTAAATACCTTACAGGGTAATCAGATTCAAAACATAGAGAATCCCTCTAGGCAAAACCTTAAGTTACAAAAAGACACAAATATAGGAATATACATTCCCTTCAGCACAGCTTATTTTCTCAGCCTTGTAAAGAAAACAGAATCTAACGCATATCTAGCTAGATTACTTACTAAGTTCTAAGACTCCATTCCTTTTCTGTTCCTGGCAAAAGCATCACACCGACAGAGAGAACCTTTGTTTCTCCCCCGCTCCAGCTTTGAAAGTATCTTGTCTCCTCATTGGTCATTTTGGTCAGGTGCTAGCGAGGTTCTCCTAGCTTCTTAACCCTTTACAGGTGAAAGGGCTTTTCCTCTGGCCAGGAGGGATTTTAAAGGTGTTTACCCTTCCCTTTATATTTATGACAAGCTGTTAACTTACTTCCTGAAATAGCGCTCCTATTCTTCATGGCCTTGCAGATCTGCGTTTGTTTAACCTGCTCTATGCAGAAGAAGCTGCTGGACTTACAGCTGTTTAAGCTTTATGAATTGATACACATCATTTCATGGGCATCATGTTAACCATCTCAGAGAGTCATAACGTTGTCCCTGGTTCCTCTCATGTGCTGGATGGAGCATTGTAGGGAGAGGGGAAATGGAGCCAGTTCTTCCCCCCGCTTCCCACAACACACACACACACGCACAACAATGGGAGTAGCAGTCACATGGAGGCTGCGCTCCTCTCCTTATGGCTACCTATGATGTGAGAAGCAAGGGGGCTTCCTACTCCCTGGCATGGAACTATAGACAGTGTCACAATCTGGCCTTTTGTTTATTCAGTGGGGAGGGGAGAGACCATTTACCTCAGCCTGCTCAAAGCCAGTCTGAGAACAGCATGACAACACTTGGATGTTTTAATAAAGCAAGGGTCCAGGAGAAGACTCCTGATCACTGATTGGCGATGATGTAACAAGTTAACTCTGCACAAGGAAGAGAGGTGTTTAATTCACTCCCAGGTACTACTGCCGGTCAGGGAGGGATAAAACAGACAGTGTACAGAATCCAAGTCCTATACTCCACTTCCTTAAAGAAGCAGCATAAATACCACGGAAAAGGTAGAAGGGCTTCTAGGAGGTTACAACTTACATGGACACATTAGCACCTCAGTCCTCAAAGTAATCAAAGCATAACTACACTGACAAGTATTGAGCTCAGAACCATTAAAGTTCAGAATAGAGGGCTTCAAAGCTGCCTTGTGTGTGTTCACGGCCACTTCAGCATGAAAAATAATATGAATAGCCAGTAGAGCAAGCGTTTCCTCTGGTTAGCCATGAATCTTTTATATTTTCCAAATAGCAAAAAATGGCATCTTTGTCAATGTGAGTTACATTGTGTTTATTCTCATTTGTTTAGTCAAGTAAAAGCTCAAGTGCTAAGGTCCCACAGAAACGGCGCGACTGTCAATATCAGGGTCAAACGTGGAGGTGGAAGGCAAAGCTTTCTAGGGGACTGGCTCCTCTTCTGGACACCCCACTGTCTTCAGCACAAAGTGCAAGGCAGGTGGATTTTCAAAAGACTCTGTGGCTGAGATCCACAAAGGTAGTTAAGACTCCTAATTTCCGCTGAAATCAATGGACACTGTGCCTATCCACATGCATCGCCTACATGCAGTGTTACAGGCCTTTTGTCAATGCAGCTTGATGCTGTGTGGGCACAATGCCCTGGCACAAGCGGTTGAGTGTGAATGAGCTCCGACTAAATAGTTTTGTTGATGGCACTGCCCCAGCAGAACTTTTACCCCAGTACAACTTTCTAGAGTAGTTAAGCCTAAGAAGCACAATGGAATTTATGGTCCCAAATCACTTCAGCTCTTTTGACAACCCCCAACCTCACTCTTTTAGCCTGGCCTTCCCTTAGCATCAGCAGCACAAGCAGATAAGGAAAAGGAAATAGAAGGAGGGGCAAGGAGAAGGCCTCTTTCTCACACACTCACACATTGGAAAAGAGGAGGGAGGACATTTCCATCACCCTCCCAAAGAAGAAGACAGTCCATTTGTGCATTAGTTTGTGATGTGCTCCTGATAAGAACACACAGAGAGATGGATCACAATAGGCAATGCCAACTGGAAGATGGCTTGGATCAAGATGAAGCATTGCATGCTGACTCTGGGCTGTCTCTGGTGGTTGCTGTCCCATATTAAAAATGAGGATGGCAGCAATCTGCTCCACTTTATGTAAATCCGATACAGCCCCAGAGCTGCAGGCAGACTGCCAATGTAGCTAGCTGTTAGTGGGCCAAAGATCAGGCAACTAGAACTGTTTATATTCTTACCACAAACTCTATTCAGCTCAGCTGAATTGGAACATGCAAAAACAATTTTCAAGTGTGTGCAGAAAGTTATACATGAACGATCTTTGTGCTTTGAGGATGCAGTTTCAAATGATGTGGACCCAGAAGAAAACTTCCTCTGGTTAGCCAGGGAACACCTCCACTGTAAAAAAAAATCATTTTGGTGAGCAAGAGCACTGGAAGGCAGAGAAAGACACTTAATGATCTTTTCATTTCCTTTATTTCACAAGCTTTGAATTCAGAAATAGAACCACAACTAGTAGATCTGATAGGGTATAATAAGTAAAAATGCATGTGATTACAAAGGAAAAACTTTGTACAAAAAAGTTTAAAAATCCAACGGTAATCTGAGTTATTCTTAAGTACCAAAACACTCATGCACAAGGAGAGCACTACTGCCCAGCTGGAGAAATCTCTGAATGGGATGGCAATGGCATTGCTGTGTAGAAGTTATGGCTCCGTCTAAAATGAAAACAATTAAGACACATACTTGGAATGTACTTTAGTGGATAATGAGAATTGCTACAGAGGCCACGATGTCATTACACATTTTGAAGTTGTTTCTTTGTATCTGGGAGCAGTGCTTCATGGATTTATAATAAATTAAAGATATTAACAGAAGCCACTTACGCTATTCTACTGCATACTTTAAAAATGTCTGCATTCTTCCTTCTTATGTATTTTAGGGGCATTGATCTTGGCATTGTGTCAATTATTGGCAACGTGTTCTAAACAGATGCACTCACAGACTGCAACTTGCATAAATAACTTAGTAACATGCATTTACTACTCTAGTACAGCTAACAGGTGCAAAGGAACCATCATTTAGTTACAAGACAAAGCTAAAACCTGTAGTCACGAAAGGGGCAATGGAAGCACCATGCTTTAAGGTGACTATGGCAAGAAAGCACAATTGTGAGGCAAGTAGTTCCAAGCAAATACACCACACTATTATCACCTCTTCCTATGCAAATATAAAAAAAAAAAAGAGAAAAAAAAAGAAAAAGAAAAGAAAAACAAAAAGACAACTCATTTTCCCCTCATTAGTACCGAATAAAACTGTGGGTTCAATAACATGGACATCAAAGGGAACAGACATTATTCCCATGATCCTTCATTCTTGCCATTCTGCCCATCATCTCTGTTCAGCCAAGACTGGTAATATTAGAGCGACCACCAGGGGGCGCAACAATGCGGTGTCCAGTGCGACGAGGGTTGTTGTCATCTACCTGAGCACCTGTAAAATAGCAATCCAGCCAGCAAAGCAGCAGAGTTAATAAAATGGGAACAGAAACATCTGAAGAAAAAAATCCAATCAACGGTGAATTTTCACCTGACTGGTTCTATCCAGGATTCAATGTTTTTGCCACTTTGTTTTGACCTTTCATCTCTAGAACCTATTTTTAGATCGTTATTGTCTTGAATAGAGTTCCATTCACTTCCACGGACGAGTGAATGCCTTGTGAGTGGATTCTTTTTGAGGGATCAGAACAGGTTGCTATTCTAGGTAATAATTTGTCTCTGTGGCATGCATTGACATTTCTGCATGAAAATGCTATATAAATATGGGTAGGGATTTTCAAAAGTGTCTAAGGACCAGACTTTTAAAGATGTTTTGGTGCCTTACTCTCATTGAACTCAATGGTAGGTAGATGCCCAAATACCTTTAACAATATGGTCCTAAGTGATTAGAATCACAAGGCTTCCTGATATGCTTTTGAAAATCCCACCCACAAGTTTTCACTATGAGGGAAAACTTTTATAAGTGCACAAACAAAAGTGTTCCTGTATATTTGTACATGCTCAGTCTCACTAGTACCCCAATGTATGGGTGTATCAAACTTTACAAACTGCCAAAAAGATATGAAAAATCAGAAATTTTCCTTGGGTTCTCTACTATTTCTTCTCTTTGAATGGTTTAATTGGACTCCTAAAGATGAGACTTTTCAGGGATAAAAGCATTGCTCTTGTTTCTCACTGGAATGGGTTGCAATTGACCATCCATTACAATTTCTTAAAGAGATAAGAACCACTGGTGTACTAATTCTATTGCTGACTTTTGGATGTTATAGTTACATCGCATCAAAATTTAACCACTGAGGAGAGAAGTTGTCTAGAATAATCCCCCCAAAATCATATTTCTAGTCTACTTATTATGTGAGGGAATATCCTGCAATGGTGCTTTGGCTTAAATGGTGAGACACATGGGGTATTTTAGAATTATGATTAGTACTCAAGGTTTTTCAGATATTCATAATCGGTCATTTTGGTTTACCTGATAAGCTGAAATTAGATTGGTGGAGATTTCTGATTGGTGGAGGCTGATTTTTGGCAGGGGAGGACTTAGCTGAAGGTGCAGGCGTTGCATATTTTGGCGTAGCTGGGATTTCATACACTGGCCCATCATACATTCCTCTGGACACCCCTTGCAATCCTGTTACCTAAAATAAAAGAACAGAACAACTCAAACACTGAATGCACTGATATTCCCACCTGACAGTATATTCAGTCACACATAGAGTTCACAGTATGTATGGAGCTGTATCATATACAGTCCCTGTAGCGAGGAGGCGTGCCCTCCTTCAGAGGTGGACATGGAAGGAACACCTCGAGCCTCCTGGTGGGCAGAACTAGGAGGGCCATGCTGCACACGCCGGAAGCAGAGGGGTAGGGCAGGAAGAGGAAGTAGAAAAAGCCGGCCCAGCAGCTCAGTTCCCCAAGCTTCTTCTCCATTGCTGGAGTGGGATGCTGAGGTGAACCGTGGCTGCCCCAAGGAGCTGCCTGATCTTCCAGAGAGATCTGCCACTCCCAATGCTGAGGAGCTGCTACCGCTACCCTTGGCGGTGTATCCCAGGAAGACTGAGGACAACCCCTGAATGCAGCTACACCCGAGGGGGAGAGTAGGAAGGAGCCCAGGGGAACCAGACTACCATCTGGCTGTGTTGCTGCCAGAAACACGGTCAGCGTGTTGTGAGTGGATTCCCCGCTGGCCCAGTGGCAGACCACTCTGCCACTGTTAGGGCCTGGGCTGGGATACAGTGGAGTGGGTCCTCCTCTCCCTGCCACCGCTCCCCCTGGGGTGGCAGTACTCCCCCTCCTGAAGCCAAGAGACCTGCCCTTGTCTGTCACCCACCAGAGCTAGGACAACAGACTGTGCTTGGGCTCACCCCTGACAGAGCCCCATAGCCTGTATTTGGTGCCACAGTTCTGCCTGACTGCAGGCCAGAGTCCTGACTGTGTGCTGCCCTGCTCTGCATGAACTGCTACAGCTCGCCTGACTGCAGCCAGACTGCTTGAGGGCTGGGCTTATAACTTGTTACCACCCTGTCTTGACCGTCGGCCAGAGCCCAGGGTTTGCAGCCCCGCCTGCTTGAAAGCCAGGGCCCATCGAATACCGCTAATTCCCCCTTTCTTTGTTTTGAGAGTATTCCAGCAGACCAGACTGCGAAGAGGCGTGGCCTCCCTCAGAGGCCGATGCAGAGGGATGGCCACACTCACTTACAGTCCCCAAGTAAAAAAGCATGTCAGTGGTTTTATCTGAGTTTATAGGGCTGTTTTATACTTTTAAAAGGTTATTATAAAAACCTATTATATATGTCAATTTTATCCAAAGTCATGTTTCCAGCGTTGTTCCCAAAGAAATAATAGTCTACTTCAAGAATCACATGGTGGGACAGCTGGATTTAATGCAGGAGGTCTGGAATTTGTGTTCTCCAAAACTACATACTGGCACAAGTATACCTAGCAAAGCGTATTGGTGCCACATTGTCAATGAACAAAAGGTGCATTTTCCTTTATTGGAACAAGAGCATAGTATCATCTGAGAAATGGACAGTATTATCTACAGCCTTAACATTCACTTCTGCCATGACACCTACCGAAAACTTAACAATGGCTAGGACAGCTGGTGGTGTCCTATTATGCTATATTATACAACCCATATTATACTAATCATGATTATATCATTGTTCTCTTTTCTTCCTCACAACCCTGTTCAATTGTTTTACCCTCCTGTTGTCTCTCATCATTAGACCAGGTTGAAAAATGGTGACAATCTTTTCTTTTTTTTTTTGGTAAACAGTTTGAAAAAACTTTCAACTAGCTCTACTCATACATAAATCATGAGAATTTGTCAGCTCCTTGGAACAGGCCTTGCCTTTTATTGCTTGTCTGTACAGCACCTAGCACAATGGGACCCTTGTCTCAGCTGATGACTTTTAGGCACTAGCTCTGTAATATTCATACGAATGTTATGCAGGAGGTCAGACTAGATGATCATAATGTTCCCCTCTGGCCTCAAAACCTATGAATCTACAAAACAATATTACCGCTATCAAAGGTAATAACTGGAAGAGCTGGAGGTGTGTCCCCCTCAGGAAAAGTTGTCTTACAGAACCCAAGGCTCTCAAAAAAGCATTCCAACGAATTTGCAGTGCTTATTTGGATATTCAGTCTAAGGATTTTAGAAGACATTTTAGAAAGATCGCCCCCTATATGTTCTTGAGAAAGAGACATGGAAATATAGGAAAGCCTGGCTGTTGAGAAGAGGGCTTGAGTCTGCTCCCATTTAAGTCAATGTAAGTGTTTCCAGTGTTGTCAATGACAGAAGGATCAGGATCACAGCTAAGCTGTCATGCAGCCTGACCCAAAGATAACATTGGCGATGTTCCCCAAATGTATACCTTCTCTACCAGGAGAGTGAAGCGCCACAGACAGCAGAGGAAGCAGACACCAAACACAGCAAGGGGGGTGTCACAAAGGCAGGAGTTTACACCCCTGTAAATATTCCAGGATTTTATCTGTGACAGAAATTGCTGTGTAGATCCTTGTTTGATGTTCTATCACATCTTACTTTGTTGTGCAAGGGTATTCGAATGAGGACCACACAGTGGATTTGATCGTCAGTAGGTTTCAAAATAAAGGGATTTCATTGATTTTACATGAGAGAAAGAGAAGCAGTGGTGGGAACATGCCGCAGAGGTCAATCTCACTTCCAGGAATCAGTCAGCAGAGGGAGCTCTAAGAGCACCAAAGTCAGTGCTCACCCCTGCTTCCCCTCCACCTAACTAGCCACCAGAAAACAAAGGTCTTTCCCCAAAATCCAGCTCCTACAGTGAGCTACTAGCCTAACTCCTGCAGTGAACTCAAGCCTGGGAGAAGGGTGGGCTTGAGAACGCAATGTCCAGCCCCAGACAGAATGTCAAAGCACTGCCTACACAGCTATTCTACTCTAGCACAAGCCCCACTGCACAAGTCCGTGGACCCAGGCAGGAAGGCTCGCTCCTGGGTGCAGTATCGACATACCCTCAGAGTGCCAGACACTTGACAGGCAGGTCCATGTTTCAAAGTCTCTAATTCAAGTAGGCAATGTGATGAGACAGAAACCGTGACTGGGCAGCAATGTTTGCAGCACATCTTAGTTGATGCATATGTCCTGTTGGTAATTTTTTTTTCCAAAGGAGCCGATATGTTGAATTCTATAATTTGACACCACTTGTATGAAGAGAATGGTGAGGAGAAAAGGCCTTTGAAAGAAGTGGGTTGCCATCTCAAACTGCTTACAGTACGTTTCAATTGCTGCCCTTTGTAATCTATTATATAAAATTTTTATAGTAAAAAAAAAATATTAGAGTAAAAACAACCAAAAAGCAGCCTTTTCTTCACTGATGTTTGTGTTCCCTGACAAAGAGATCTCATTGTACAAGAACAACAAAAGAGAATTTTCAGACAATTCACATCTAGTAACAAGCCCTATTTATTGGCTCCAGAGGAGCCGCATTGGTATAAATTGAAAACAGAACTGACCTAGTCAGGGTCAAATAGGACACTTTGCATGGTGTATGCATTTCATTTGCTAAAACATCTGTCCCGAGCCACCTGCTTCACAAAAGAGAAAGGCCGGAAAGTTTTGTGTTTTATATACAAAAACAACCCAACTAAATCTAATTCGCCCACAACAGTTGTTAAAAGCTGATAAAATGCCAAATACAGTGAATGCTTCCAATGTAGCACGTACATGGGAAACAGAAATACTTGATCTGCTTATCCAACATGCTAAGTTATGTAACAATTTAAAATGACAGCCTGTCCTGCCCCCAACCCCCGCAAAAATTGTCGTCCTTTGTTCTTTGTTGTTAGCTAAAATTGCCTTCTATTATCTTTCTCTTTCCTTCAGAAGACTGTACATCATAGACATACAGGGCCAGATTCCCAGCTGGTGTAAGTCACTGAAGCTCCACTGAAGTCAAAGTACATCAATTTACACCAGCTGAGGTTGTGGCCCATAGTCTTTTGGCAGCGTTTCCAGTCCCACATGGATCCATTTCACTTAGAACAATAATGATGCAAAATGTTTTCTCGTGTGATTCCAAGAGAGCCTGGAGCGAGACCAGAAGATATGTGGAGTATTAAATAACAGGCCAAGTTTGAACCTACCTTATTCCTGATTTTGATGCGCTGGTAAAGGTATTCAGGGAAAGGTTTGCGAGGAATGAAACGGCCCATTCCCTTATTTACATGCAGATTTCCATCTTCAAACACAATCTTTCCTTGGCTTATGACCACCAGGGGAGCACCATGGCATTCCATCCCTTCAAAGATGTTATATTCAACAGCCTGAGGATCAAACGACATCCACTGAAAACTCCATGCAAGCTCAATCTCAAGTCTGTTTTTCTTTGGTAAAGTGAAATACACTTTTATGGCCCTATTTTAATTCAGGTTCCACTAATGCACCTGCAAAGCACCTGCAAAACGTGCAAGCACACTTGTTTGTTTGGATGAAAAAATAACTGCTTTTCCACACATAAAGATTTATTTATTTCCGTTTAGTAGTTGCATTGTTGAAGGTTAGATGAAAATGCGACCTTTACGCATAATCAAAGGGTTCAAAATACACTTACTCCCCAGGGACAGAAACCAAAAAAATGCTTTGGGGTAGATAAAGTAATATACAAGCCTGTTGCGTATCAAACACAGGTCAGTTAGGGTATGTCTACATTGCAGTTGGGAGGTGTGATTGCAACACATGTAGGTTTCAGAGTAACAGCCCTGTTAGTCTGTCTTTGCAAAAAGAAAAGGAGTACTTGTGGCACCTTAGAAACTAACCAATTTATTTGAGCATGAGCTTTCGTGAGCTACAGCTCACTTCATCGGATGCAGCCACAAGTACTCCTTTTCTTCTTTCAACACATGTAGGTACACCTGCGATATCTTTGATCCAGCTAGCTTGCTAAAAATATCAGTGTAGCCTCAGTGACATGGGTGACCACATAGGCTAGCCAACAGAGTATATACCTAGAGCAGGGGTGGGCAAACTACGGCCTGGGGGCCGCATCAGGCCCTCCAGACGTTTTAATCCGACCCTCGAGCTCCCGCCGGGAAGCAGGGTCCGGGGCTTGCCCCACTCCGTGAGGCTCCCAGAAGCAGGAGCATGTCCCCTCTCCTGCTCCTATGCATAGAGGCAGCCAGGGGACTCAACACGCTGCCCCCGCCTGAAGTGTTGCCCCTGCAGCTCCCATTGGCTGGGAACCATGGCCAATGGGAGCTGCAGGGGTGGTGCCCGTGGACAGGGCAGGGTGCAGAGTCGCCTGGCTGTGCCTCCACATAAGAGCCAGAGGGGAGGACATGCTACTGCTTGTGGGAGCTGCTTGAGGTAAGCACCCTCCCAGAGCCTGCACCCTGACCCCCTCCCGTGCTCCAAGCCCCTGCACCACCCCGATCGTTCTCCCACCCTCCTGCACCCCTCGGTCCCAGCCCAGAGCACCCTCCTGCACCCCCAACTCCTCATCCTCAGCCCCACCCCAGAGCCCGCACACCCAGCTGGAGCTCTCACCTTCACCTTCACCGCACCCCAACCCCCTGCCCCAGCCTGGAGCCCCCTCCTGCATCCTGAACTCCTCATCTCTGGCCCCACCCCAGAGCCCACACCCCCAGCCAGAGCCCTCACCCCCTCCCATACCCCAACCCCCAATTTCATGAGCATTCATGGCCCGCCATACACAGATATGCCCTTGGGCCAAAAAGTTTGCCCATCCCTGACCTAGAGTCCCAGGTGAGATTGTACTCAGCTAGCCTGTGCTGCTGATGGCTGGTGGCTACACTGCTATATTTAGCAAGCTAGCTTAATTAAAACTAGCTTGGGTATGCCTACATGTGCTGTCCCTAATTGCATAACCCTTAGAGGCACTGACTCACCAAAACACTTTAGCAAGTGCTTAACTACAAGCATGAGACTTGGGAACATGCTTATGGATAAGCATGTGCTTAAGTGCTTTGCTGAATCGGAGCCTGAATGATTTAGATCTATTCTCTGCACTGCACCACCCCTGCCCTCCAAAGCTAGAAAAAATACTTGGGTAGCAAGGTGTTTATTTTCAAAAGTGCCTAGTGATTTAATGTGTCCCACCTGAAACATCTTAAAGGGGCCTCATTTTCAGAGACTGGTGTGCTCAGCCCCGTTTAAGGTCGGGAAAACACAAATTGAGGCACACAAACTCATTTGTCATTTTTGAACATGTAAGCCTTTTTTAAATAAAACATATTATTGGCTATCCAGTAAACTATCACAAATATTTAATGAAAATCAGTCATATTTATGGAACTGTGACCCAGTATGGTGATGGACAGGATGTAAAATACCGACTAGATACATATGCAGTGTCATTGTAGCTTTTTCAGTCCCAGGATATTAGAGAGACAAGATACTACCTCATCCACCTGTCTTTCCACTAGATTGATATGTAAATTAGATTAGATTAGATAAAATAAAGCAAACATATGGGCCTGATTCTCCATTATCCTGTCCCTTGTGTAGTCATTACACAAAGATCAAAGTGTTTGGAAAGAATACACAGTTAGTATTTTATGCAAATTGGGACACAGAATCAAAGAAATATACTATAAAGTTTCGTAATTAAACAAGACCAAAAAAACCCAAACCCATCCGTAATCTAGAACCCAGATTATAGAAACATTGAATTAAGCATAACATTTCAGAACATTTTTCGATCTGCTCAGGCAATGGATGATAACTCATGCTTCAGAAGTAGGCAAAATAAAGAAAAGAAAAGAAAAGAAAAGAAAAGAAAAGAAAAGAAAAGAAGGGTGGGTTGGGGTCAGATTTGTAAAGGTATTTAATCACCTAAAGATGCAAGGAGGAACCTAGTGGGACTTTCTAAATCAATAGGATTTAGGCACCTAACCTGCTTAGGTGCTTTTGAAAATCCCACTACATGCCTACTGGCATCTTTAGGCATCAGAATACCTTTAAAAATCTGATGCTGGCTACAAGGTTGGTGCAAATTGGCATGGCTTCACTGATGTCCGTGGAGCTATGCTGATTAACAGCTGTTGGGGAACTGGCCCATTCATTTAGCCAATTATACAATATTCTACATGCTGGAAAAATTCCTTCCGGACTGAAGTGGTAAATTTCTTATTCTCTGAAAGAACAGATTTAATGACTTTCATCTTAATATGAACAATCATACTTTTTAATGCAGAACATCACATTATCCAGCTCTTACGTATCTAGCACATTGGGAGTTCATTTGCGTTAGAAGATTGGTAGTTCCGAAGCAGTTGTGTTTATAATGACAATATGCAATTTTTCTCTTACCGATTTATGGCTTTTGGCTGTAATAGTCTTCACTTTATCTGGATCCCAGATAACAACATCAGCATCTGAGCCCACAGCAATCCGGCCCTTCCTTGGATACAGATTAAAGATTTTGGCAGCATTGGTGCTGGTAACAGCAACAAACTGGTTCTCATCCATTTTGCCTGTAGCCTACAAGCAATTTGACATGAGTAAATTATGCTTCCAAAATGGAGATAGAATTGGTAATGTCAACATATAAGGGCATGTGCGTAGATAGACTGGACAGAGGAAATAAGGGATGGAGTTGCATGGTCCAAAGGTTTTATTAGCATGAATTTGTGAGGTCTGTATTATTCAGGAGCAGCAAACAGATGAGTGAGTTATTCACATCATCCCAAACAAAAGCCACTAAACCCTTAATCCAGACCACACCATCATGTATGCTGTGTATGCTACATGTTTTATTACAGATAAAAGGCTTGTCTCAGTTCTGCTAAGTCTCCTTTCCCTCGGTCTCACATGTGAAGGTACTGGAATATCGGTGTAAATGATTTATATCTGCTTTAAGGCACTTTTATACTGCCAGAGGAGCATAAAGGAGCAGCAGGATACCTGAAAAATCAGACTGCTTTATTCTTATCCCTACACCTGCAAATCCAGGTTGCTTTAGTAGCACAAGTCCACTGTACAGGGGCTTAAAGGGAGAGAAAAAATCATCAATGATCAAATTTTAGAAATATCTAATAAAGACATACAAAATCTTTGCTGCACAGAACAATGTTGTGATTTTACAGTCCAATATTTTTGGATTTTCTCAAGCTAGAAACAAGAGCAGCGTGCCCCAATGAAAACCAGACCATTCTCCCTGTTGTACGGTATAACAACACCCATTTCTAGCCTAAATATAACATGAGCTACCAAGTCCACAACTGAATGTTGCCCCAACTGCCTCTCAGCCCAACGTAGTTTTGCAGCTGACATTCCATGTTCTGCGGGAGAAAAGAAGAAAAAACGTCTCTGGTTGATTGGGTTTTGTTCATTTTGCTTTTAAACAGCAGCTATTTGAAGCTGCTTCAGTGTTTGGAATCCTAGCAGTAGTCCCTGGCAAGTTGGACGGGGGAACAGTCCAAGTAAGGTGGTCAGAGGTGCACTATAAATGCAATCAGAGTTTTACAGTTTGTAATATGCATATCAGCTTCACCTGTGTGTACGGGTGGGGAGAATGCATTGTATATTAGGATCCATGAAACATCCAACAAATTGCTCTCTTATGCCAACATCACGCTGTAAAATACTCCAGCATAAATTACACAAAAAGTCCTCATTTAAATGGCTTTATATTATAACCTTAAGCTTTGGTTCCCATCCATTTGTAGTTTCTCAAAAATGATGTGACATTTCCCCAAATTAAATGATCTATTTGTCAAGTTTATACAAAGTCTATTTCAAAAGCGTTAAACTGCTTTGACTATTATGTCAGTTCCAAACATTCAATCTGACACAATACCCAAAAATGATGTAGAGTCAATTAAGCCTCGGGACTCATAAAACATGATGTTTTTCCATTGTAAAAGAGAAATAAAATACAAAGCTTTTAACTGCATTCCTACTAAGTATTTAAAAATAAATAATAATCTTATGGTAGCTTGTTCTATAGGAGCTCTCACAATATGGGGAAACCACATGAATGCTGGCATAGAGCCCCGTGGCTTTCATTATCCAGCTAACAGCCAATTCTTAGTCTATAAAGATAAGCAATTACTCACGACAGACTTGTCCCAGATAACAGTCATTCTTTCCTCAATTCCATTAACTCCTTCAGGAATCATAGTGAAGTTATCCTTTCCGATGGCTTTCTGGGCAGTGCTGTAGGGACAGTGCCCACTTCCCGTCACCTGCAGGTCCCCACTAAGAAGAGTTAACACATGGTGTATTGATATTGCAGGATACACAGACTCACTTGCCATCAATTTGGGTGTGAATTTGTTTTTTCAAATCTAGACATGAGAGGCGCATGCTCTAACCCACACTAGCCACTAACAGCCACCACATGCTATTCTGGTGGCTAAGGATCACTGAAGAGCAGGGGTGCTCTGGTGAGATCACCTTTCCTTAAGAAAACCCTCTGTCCTCAGCTTTACACCATCCAGGCATGTTAAGATAATCAACTACTGCCGAGATCAGCTGGGTTTTGCTCTGTTTTTCACCACGAGACTGGTACAAAGCCCACGCAACAGGGCTGAGGAGACGACTCCATTATTAGTGTTAACAAAGGTTAACAAAACCCTGTATTAAATATTCTACTTTAAAGATAAATCCATAATCATGTGAAATAAAAGTAACATGATGAATACCAGATGGCTTTTTGTGGTTTTTTTGGTCTATAAATTTTTCATGGAATTTGTACAAGAAAAGCTCTCTCTTTGTACCTTCTGACAGAAAACAGGGAATGAACAGGCAAGCCTGCACTCTGATCATTCTGACACCAATTAGTTGTCCCCAGAAAAAGACAACACCTCAGCTTTGAAGGTCTCAGCCTCACATAATATTGCACTGCAGTTTCTTGGTCTCCAAAGGATGAAGGTTGCGCTGACCATGCTAGGATTTGAACCAGTGGTCCCTCCCCATCTTAGTGTGTAAATTGCAGGTTTCAAACATCAAGAGTCCTTAGATTCAGAGGTTAAAATCCCAGCAGCTTTATAAATAACCAAGTGAATGAAGAAAAAGGTCCGTTATCTGCCACATTAGTACAATTTACTGAGGTGCCAATCCTATTCACTTATGTGAAACTTTCTGCATCATCTTCTGATCCTTTCCTATCCACAAAAAAATGAATCAAGCAACATCATGAGCCTTTGATTAGAAGACAAACCTCTTTGTTAATAGTGAAATAAGAGTGATTAGACTACAAGTAATTTTATATTAATGATTTTCTTGTGTTACCGCAAATTACTAAACACACCAATGGCATCACAGGATTTGCTTTCCATTTTATCTTGTCCTTGTCCTGTCCTCTAAGCTCATCACTGTCTTGTTGTATGAAAGTTTAATTTGACATACTGGATTCTTTAATTTTCTACACATATTAATAAATACAATTGTAGGGACAAGAAACCCTCCTCCAGCTCAATTGGCCTGCCCATTCCAAGTTTATCTTTACAATGCAGTCCTTTTTTCCACAACACTATTAATTCACTGCACCAGAAACAGTCTAGGACTCTCTCTCTCTCTTGTCCATGCTTTATTTTAGTTGCCTTTCCCAGTGATTTGTTCCATATGCCCTTTGTGTGAAGTTTTTCTGCTGAGGACCATGTTAGGATATAGATATTCAGGCCTGTCTGTAAAGGCCTATACTCTAAGAATTTAGGTGTATTCTTATCACTTGGCTAGTGATAGAGGTATAAAAGAAAGAATCAAAATCACTGTCTGCTGGTGTAAGGGCCTTCTCTTACTGTGACAGTCTGAGGCCCTGTTCTTAGGCTAAGGCCTTTGGCTAAGCAGCAGAGGCAGCCATAAGCTGGGAAGCAAACAGTCACATCCTCACATTCCAAACTAGTCACACTGAAGTAAGGTGCTATTCGGCTGTTAGGAATACAATCCTGTCCTGATAGTTCCTATCACCTCCAGAGAAAGGGAAGTGCCTAGAAAATGTAAAAGGAAACTTAGTTTGATGCATCCTGTCTGGCAAGAACTCACTTATCAATAGCTGGGATGTGAAATCCTCACTTCTGTACTGTTTTGTCATTATAGTTCCCACTTTGCTGTTGTTTGTCTGTATAATCTCTGTCTGGTTCTGTGATTGTTCCTGTCTGCTGTATAATTAATTTTGCTGGGTGTAAACTAATTAAGGTGGTGGGATATAATTGGTTACATAATCATGTTACAATATGTTAGGATTGGTTAGTTAAATTTCAGGAAAATGATTGGTTAAGGTATAGCTAAGCAGAACTCAAGTTTTACTATATAATCTGTAGTCAATGAGGAAGTGACTGGGTGTGGGTGGGGGTGGGCATGTGTGTGTGTGAGATGGGAACAGGGAATGGGGGTAAGAAAATTGGAATCATGTTTTGCTAAAGGGGGAGATGGGAACAGGGAATGGGGGTAAGAAAATTGGAATCATGTTTTGCTAAAGGGGGAAATGGGAACAGGGAATGGGAGTAAGGAAGTTGGAATCATGTTTGGCTAAGGGTAGGAATGGGAACAGGGACACAGGTGTAAGGCTCTGTGGTGTCAGAGCTGGGAAGGAGGATACTAAGGAAGGAAACTGGAATCATGCTTGCTGGAAGTTCACCCCAATAAACATCGAATTGTTTGCACCTTTGGACTTTGGGTATTGTTGCTCTCTGTTCATGTGAGAAGGACCAGGGAAGTAAGTGGGTGAAGGAATAAGCCCTCTAACAGACCACAGTGCTTAGTCTTCTTAGTTCAAGAGCATCACTTAGGCCCCAATTCAACAAAAAATATTCACCTATGCTTAACTTTAAGCACGTGAACAGTCCCATTGCCTGAGTTTATTAATCAGTAAAATGGGTATAAACATTAGAACTGGTCAGAAAAATTCTGTTTTTTCCCATGAAAAATTTTGAGTTTTTGGTGAAAAATATCAAAAAACTAAAATATTTTGTTTCTGAAATGTCACTATGGTGGCACATTGGATTTGTAGTTCAGATGCGTCATGCTCCCATTCTCCTTCATTGACTAGTGGCCTGATCATATTATATCTACTATGAAGCACCACCATCTCATTTCTTGGTGAGGGGAAGCAGTGCATCATGGGAGATGGCGTCTGGCTGGGAAGCCCAGTCCATACATAAGTGTGGGAGCATGAGGTCTCTGAATTACATCTCCCATGAGGCATCGCAGTGGTATTTTGGATTCCAGGCAGTTTTTCAACAAAAAATATCTAAATTTTCTGTGGAAAGCAGACATTTTTTGTTCAGTCAAAAATCCAGTTTTCTGTCAAAACAGTTTCAACAGCAAATTTTCAACCAACCATCAAAAGCATGCTAACTTTATGTTGTGAGGCTTGTTTAATGCTTGTAAAATGTGTGATCTACTGATGAAAAGTGCTATAGAAGATATTATTAACCATAATCATATTCATTCTTGGGTAAAAAAACATATATAAATGCACTGCAAAGTATTAATATATAGGATTTTTTTAAGCTTCAATGTATTGATTTAAGTATTAGACCTGAAAGCAGGCTAAGCTGCTGTCATGTAAGATCGCTGACTCTAAGCCAGTGGGGAATGGGGGACATTTCTGCATGTTTGGAGCATAATGAAAATTTCCCTGATTTCCCAGTCTTTTTGCATGATTTTGGTATCAAAAGATGGCTTTATCTGGGTTACAATTCTAAAAATTCTATTGCCATTTTAGCTATGCCAGTTTGACCCACATATTATTAATATGTTGGAAGCCTCTTGTGGAGAACACACAGCTGTGTCTGCTGCAGTAAAAACAATATTTTTTTTCTACATTGCTGCATGAGCTGGTTAAAAGTCTGATCCTGTTCCCACTGAACACAACAGCAAATCTGCTAATGATGTCAATGGTGCAAGATCAGGCCAGAAAAGACCTTTTTCCTGTTTTCATTTTAATGAACAGAAAGATCAAATAAGGGAGCTAATTTCATCTGCTCCCAAGGCCAGCACCAGTCAGAAATGAACCAAATTCTGTATAACCCCACCAAAAATACATTTGACTTAGGGCCAGATTCTGCTCTCATTAACATCTGTGTAAGTCCAGCACCAGTGGAGTGACTCTGTATTTACACAGGTGTCACTGAGCAGAAGTCATCCTCTACTGCACATACAGAGACGCATGGACATAGTCTCTGATGTACAAGTGCCTAGACAGATGTCTCCCCATGCTTTTATATCACCCATGTACATAACCTGTCAACCTGCTGTGGGGAAACCTCACTTCTGGAAGAAACGTGATCTGCAAGCAAATGACCATTTCTAATTCTTCTAAAAATGTACTTCATCCAATGTATGGGTATCTCTGGAAGCAGGAATCAGCACAGTTAGGGACACAGTGCCGCCACCTGGTGTTAACTAGTGGCTTGGCTGGCAGACAATTACTCACTCTACTGTGAGCACTCTGTCCTGCTGGGACTCAAACAAAAGTCCCCTATCACCCCAAAGCAGCAGCTCCACCACTTAAGCCAAAGAAGCATCGCAATGAGCTAGAAGCAGTACACACTTTCTGGAGGTGATACCCAATTCCAGGTTGCCAAGACACTGCTGGTAACTTGTTGAACATTTTCAGAGCTACCTGAACCTTTGTGGGCAGACAGATGTCATATTACCCCTTCTAACCCTTGGAATGACTAACCTCCTCCAGAAAATTCTCAGCAAAACAACTCAGCTCCCACCCCTCCTTTCCCAGCCCCATCAGCGGGATACCCATCTCTTCACTGTTCCTACCCCCTCCCATCTCTCTGATGATAATCCTCCTCTCTCTCTCACCATCTCCTGATCCCTTTGCAGACAGCCAGTACACCCCCACCTCCCATCAGTGGGCTGACAGCCTCCTATACCCAGTCTGTTTCTTCCCAAATGCAAACTTGAATCCCTAAATGAAGCTGCTCTGGCATCTATGCCAGTTCCTCCCCACCCCTCAGCTGCCCTCCAAATGTGAACCATTTACCCCTGCTGGTTTCCAGCTGAGGAAACAGTCTGGGACCAATAGAGATGGGGCACAACAGGAGGGTAAGCTAGGATGGGGCCTAAGGGAATGTTGACACTGCCACTGGGAGGTGCGATTCCCAGCCTAGTTGACAGACTCACACTAGCTCAGCTCAAGTTGGAGTGCTAAAAATAGCAGCATGGACATTGCGGCACTGGTGGTGGCTTGGGCTAATCACCTGAGCTCAGACCCAGGCTGCCAGGTAGGTTTGGACACGGGCAGCTAGCTTAAGCCACCAACCTGTGCCACAACCTCCCCATTGCTATTTTTACCATGCTAGCTCAAGCTGAGCTAGCACAAGTCTCTCTACCTGTGCTGGGAATTACACTCAGGAAATCAGGCCTCCTAGCTGCCAGACAACCTCCTGCCTCATGGCCCTGTCCTAAGAGCTCATGTGTGTGCACATGCGTGCACGCAGATTACAATAAGCATTTTCACACGTAAGGACAAGTTGATGCGTGGGACTGTTTTATTATTAGCAGAGCTCAAGGGAAAAGTACAACACGAGGTCTGTTCAGGGCAGAAGATGCACCAAGATATGGCACCTTCTCACTGGTTAACACAAAACACATAAGAATCAAACTCCTATCTATCTTTCAAATGCAACGTTACATTAGAAATGGCCACGCTCCCTCCTTGACTTTACTCCTCCCTGCCAGGAGTCCTCTAGTGAAAGAAGTGGATCACCTAAGAGAAAATCCACAAGTCTCCTCTCTCTCGTGTACCGAAGCACTACCTAAAGGCTGGGATGATGCATGCACCGAAAACCAGGGTTACATTTACTTTGGTGGAAGTTGTGAGAGTGATGGTTGTTGACCTTTCAACCTGGAAGCTTTTTAATAATAAATAACTCTCATTGCTGAATAAATCCTGTACCACATTTCCTCAGTTAAAATTGCAAATAACATATCACTCTTCACATCAAGTCCTGTTTGTTCTGTCACCTTCACAATAGATCAGTAGATTAACATCTGTACAATATACATCCATACAACACTAATTCTCCCCTACGTCTACAGCATTAAACAGGCAGGCTCTTTTTAGTTATGCTTCTGTTGCTGTATGTGCATTATGCACACAACATAGTCTTCCAGCCTATAAAGCAGGCCAAGGAAACCTGCCTCAGAAAGTTGCACTGTCAGTTTACTATAGCTTCTTTTAGTAATAATTTTGAGTCTGACCCAGCTCCCACTGAAGCCAATGGGAATTTTGCCATTAACTTTAATGATAGCAAGATTGAGTTCTTAAGGACTAATTCTATTGTAACCTAACATCTCTTGTCCATCATAATTTTATACATTAGGATAATGGTTCAAAGCCCTTTGAAGTCAGAGGAAATATACCCATTGACTTCAATGGGCTCTGGAACAGTCTCGAGATGTTGCATCTGGCATGGGTTTTGCACTCATGTGACTGACTGACTTTTTATAAACAATTAAAGGTTATACCATGCTAAGAGTGAGTTCAAGTGATCTGGTGTGGTGGGGTCAGGACTCAGAGGTGGTGAGGTCACAAAGGCTGCAGCCTTGGCCCAGTTTTTGCTCCAATAATGTGTCCCATCTGTCCCCAGGCTGGCAGTGATTGGCTCACCAAAAACTAGAGGACCTGGGGAAAAGCAAGAATATACAGTAAATGGTTAAAATCCACTTGCCAATGCATTATGCAGCTTACTGCGAACAGCCATGCATAATTTACATGTTGCTACATGGACAGCATAACTGCTAAGAAATTAAACAGCCCTGGCTTTGTCCGTATTATAAAAATTTAATCAGGCAGCTTGCCAAGCCACATATGCTTTTGATCGAAATATTTACAAAATTCTCTAATCTGGGAGGAGAGGAGTTCAAAATTGTGTTTAATTTCAATAATCTTATCAGCGCCATCTTTTCTCTGTTTTTAAGTGAGTTTGTGCAGTGGATTGAAGGCCCTGGAGACTGAAGTTCTTTATGTACGCACAGACCATGTGCAGCGCAAGCAAGCGGAAATGCAGGCTTTCTCCCTGGTATACCTCAAGTCTGATCAGAAGGGGACACATTAAAGATCCAGAGGAGAGTTTGCTCTCACTCTTTGGCCTCATTGCACTGCCCAGTGGCTGAGGTGCCAGTGCTCCAGAGTCAAATTAATTGCTGCTCCTGCGGCCTGTCATTGGTGATCCCCAAGGTAACCCATACGCCACAGCACTATAGAGCAGCACAGCGGCCCTTCCCTTGCACTTCTATGTCTCTGCGGCCTGCCTCTCACCTGCCTAACTGTAAGTGAGAGGTGCTGGAAGTGTGGAAGGCTGAGGGAGAAAAATAGAACCAGCAAAGGACCAGGTGAGGAAAGAAAATGAGAGAAAAGAGAAAAGCAGAGACAACTGAGAAGAACAGAACATGCCTTAAGAGGAGAGACAAGGAGCGGAGTCAGCAATAAAGCAGGACTTGCAGCCGGTGAGTATTAAAAATACGAAGGAGCAGAGCATGGGGGGGACACTCAACACTGCAGGGAGCAAAACCTCTCCCTCTGAGGTCCAGTGCATGCGTTCTATTTTCCCCCACCCACTGCTAGCTCATGAAGCTTTGTAGCACTAGCAGTAACTGTCAGCAAGTGCTAGAGAGATACATTCTGGCAGCTGCCCCACAAAGGCTGAGAGTCCGTGCTAGGCCTTACAAGGGAAGAAGATAATCTTTGCAAGAATGAATAGCCAGCAGCTTGGGATAAGGGTAAGAGGTAGCGTGTGAGAAGGGAGGATTAAGATGCACATTTCAGGTAGGTGGAGGAAGGGGCAGTAGGAAGGAGAGTGTCAAGGTTGAATAGAGTGGTGGGGTCTCACTTCCATTTTCCCAAAACCAAATTGTTAGCACAACAGCAGCCATTTGAGTCAGTGGATACTGACCCCTGCATTCAGCAATTGGGTTAGTTGCTAGAGCTTCCATTTGGTAAATGATACCTAATGCACGCCCCCTTTGAGGGGAATGCACTGAGTTCCATACCTCTCTTCCTAGCCAGCGCAATGATATCAGCCGCGCTCTTACTCATCACCTTGGTGATATACACCGGACAGTTGATTCGACTGCCAATGGTGATGGCACGGAAAACAGCTTCCGCTTCAAGCTGAAATGGACAAGAAAACAGGCAGAAAAATGTAAGTTGAAAAGCGGAAGGAGGTGAAAGTGAAATCCAGGACTGAGCCAGATTTTTCTCTTTTTAACGACAACAACAACAAAGGCCTTGTCCTGCTTGGCTCATATACTGCTGTGCAGTGTTGGATGGGAGGGAGAAAAAAGTCACACACAGCCTTGCACAGCTTGTGTAAAGGCCAAACACAATTCTAGAGTGTGTCCGTTCTACTTTTCCAGAGGCACATGGTGCCTCATGGGGGCAGAGCGGTGGTGAGAAGGCCAGGACACAGCTCTGCCCCTAACTCCATGCATTAGCTACCCAGTACTGCTGGCCTGGGGGTTGATAGGCTAGAATAGTGTAGCACCAAGCCTCTCTGTGCTATCCCAGGGCAATGCAGCTCTGTACCCCACTGCCCCTTGCTAACGGCACCATCAAGCCTTAAATAGTAACAAAGAAATGTTATAAAGGACTTTGCTGCTAGAACCAAAGCTCCCCTATTAACTCCCTCCCCTATTAACTCTTCCAAATCCACATTTCTTCGTGAAGCCCCATGGCCTTCCCCTAGAGTGACCAGATGTTCCGTTTTTATAGGGACAGTCCCGTTTTGGGGAAGTTTTTCTTATATAGGGGCCTATTACCCCCCACCCGTCCCATTTTTTCCACAGTTGCTATCTGGTCACCCTACCTTCCCCCTACAAACAAACACAAAGAAAAAGGAAGGGGAAAACAGTGTCATAATTCATAGAAATTCTCTGTACCCTCAGACAATGCAGGCTTAGGCCCAATCTCTACCCAAGGATAAGAAAACAGTGAATATAAGTATTTCTAAGGAACAGCATCAGCAGTATAGGTTGAATTTAGCCCATAATCCATAGAAGGCTTTCAAACATCCTCCAGTAAGTCCCCTCTGTTCCTCAGTGTCCAAGCAATCTCCCACAAGGAGCCATCTGGGACATGCATACAAATAATTTGTCTTCAGCTGGAGCGGCAGTGTCTTTCCAGAGCCACTAGAGGCCTCTCTTCACTGCCACTAGTCCAGTGGTTGGCCCAAACCCTCTCAGTATAGCTACATCCCAAAATCCAGAAAACTGGAGTGACCGAAATATTAGACACAAGGTTATTGATAATTCTCTTCAAAGTCTTTATCAGTCAAATCTGTAAAGACAGCATCTCCAAAAGCAGATGGCCTAAATCTTTACAGTTTAAGTACTTCTTTTAACTCTCTTCTCCTAAAATCAAAATGTTCACCCCAGCAATTATTTTTTTCACCTGATGTTCTCCTAGGAGCCATTATTACAAACATATACACCTCATGACAAGCCAGAGTGTAGATTCATATCTTAATATGGGAATGGTTCATCACCAGGCAAACCTGAGGAAGAAGTGGAGAGGTTTTGTACCTCAGTAATGGGGCTACCACATGTGGTGGTAAGAAATACTTCAGCTTACTTTTTGGCAAATATCCAGCTAGGATTTTCCCCAGGCCGGCACTCCCATTAACAGGAAAAGACTCATTAATTTAGAAAAATCCACACCCCTCAATGATATAGCTATGCCAACCTAACTCCCTGTGTAGACAGAGCTAGATCAACAAAAGAATGCTTTTGCTTACCTACCTACTGTCATATGGGGAGGTGATATTCCTACATCACATTCCTGCCATCAGTGTAGGCTCCATCTACATACGTGGGTATGCCGGCATAGCTACAGAACCATAATTATGCCGCTATAGTACCCATGATGTAGACATGGCCTTAGAAAAATCCTTTTTCAGTGACCTATGCTGATCCATGCATGAACGGATTTTATTATAGGAGAAAAGTGCATAAATCAAGCTGACCCACAGAATCCTTCCATTCTCATGAATTCACAATATTACAATATGTAAATGTTTGTGAATATGTACAGATAGTAGGAAAAACACTTATTAGGAGTATTTTTGGCTGAAATGTCTTGATCAGCTGATGTACAATATGTCCTGTGAATATTTTGCAGACTTTGTTACTAATTTTTAGTATGATGTCTCATACTTAGAAAATTTTGCAGAGAATGGCATTATCAGAACAGGCCGTGAAAAGCAGATGGTTTGCTGTCCTCTCCTCCAACCATCCATCCATCTACCATCTTCTCTTTTATTTATTTATAAGAAACTTACTTCCTATGTATGTAGATGCCAGAAGACATTTCCAAGAAATACAGACTTAGTTAAGCCTCTTACCTCCTCAGGTCTGCTTAGGGCATGTCCCTCAGGTCCTGTGATTCCCATCTCCAGGATACGTTTTTGTTCCTAGAATGTAACAGACAAATGCTGACCACCTCTAGAACAACATACATTTATGTTAAACTTCCTTTAGTGTACCGAGGGAAATGTTTTCATACTGCCTCCCTTTTTTGTATATGCAACTGATAGTGCCTGCAAAAAGGGACGCAAGGACGAAAAGACCGGCCCTAAATATATTGGGCCAGATTCTTCACTGACAAACACCACATGCAACCTGCTATGGGCTTCAGTGGAAGATTTGTGGCTGCAAGGCAGTATAGAATTTGGTCTATTGTGACTGCCCCATGAGAAAAATGCTACTGTCCTCCCCTAAAAAGGAGTCTTATGAGAGAAGAACACTCAATGCCATGAAATATTGTACTTATTAAGGCAAATATTGTACTTATTAAGGACAACCCTGTACTGTAATTCCTCCTTTACTTACACAATATTTTTTCTTCTCTCTCTCCTCCTAGGTAGTATCATTATTTTCTCAACCTTTTTGACAATACCTATTTACCCTGCTGATTCTTCCTCCGACCCTTTCAGGGGTCTTGCTTACATGATCTAAATTTTCTGTAACTCTTTTACAGTTGATCATGAAGATGCAGAACTAAATGCCCTCTAACCCCACTAAAAATGCACCCCTTTGGTGCTATATTACTACTTAATGTTATCTTAAAAATGGATATTCCAAGTATTCATTGCTCAGTCAGCTGATGTTTGTCAGCAAAATGTTGTGCCAAAGCTTCTTATGAAAGGACATGTGGGCAATACTTATGATTTCATATAAAGATCATGCAAAGGGTGTTTTTTGGAGTAAACTTTCTGATCAAAAAAAGTGATGGATTAATAGGACCTGCAGACACAGCACAGAGCTATTAATGCCCCACAAATCCTGACCTGTCTCACCCTTAGGTCTCTAATGAGCAGAGCTGGCCAAATGTAATGATTCTGTGATATAGACAAATGTCCTCTAGAGACAGGGATGAAATCATCTAACACATTTTCATATGTAACCTAATGAATATTTGATCCCAGGTCTCTGGGGGTGAAAAGCTAACATACTACCAACCTGCTCCAACAAGAATCATTCAGATTACACACACAGATTTGTTTCAGAGTAGCAGCCGCGTTAGTCTGTATTCTCAAAAAGAAAAGGAGTACTTGTGGCACCTAGTCTCTAAGGTGCTCCTTTACATAGATTTGTGTCTTCACTACACTGGGTGACAAATGGACAATCCATCATGATCATATATATAAATACACTGTACTAACCAGCCTGTGTCCATGAGACACATTTGGGTTAGAAAACAGAAGTATTTTGCATATATATTTTAAAATAATTTTAAATAAAATGCACCTGTCACCTATGCATGCAGGATGCTGCAGACAATTAAAATGCAATAATAAAATATTACAAATACATAATATGAAAGAAGCGGGATGACAAAGAACGGCATCATTTAAAAATAGGCTAGTCACATCCAGAAGATGGCAGAATGAAGCAGACAGAGTGACAAAATTATCCACTGTAAGAGGATTCAGTAGTGTTAATAAACTAGGACATGAGTTTGATGAGATAAAGATTTGGGTTTACATACTGGTTAATCATTCAAGCATCCACCGTGAGCAGCTTTCTTTCCACCACCAGTATCTTGCTGTAGAATACAACTCTTTTTTTTTTCTTTTCTTTTCATTTAGCATGAAATTTCAGCCTTTTTTTTCCCCCCAAATTGAAATGATTTTTTCACCTGAAAATGTTGGGATTTCCCATGGAAGAGAAATTCCAGTTCCTGATCAGTTCTATTATCTACTGTAATTAGAGCCATGCAGGCAAATCCCTGAGCCCATGTGAAGCTTCACTGAAGTCAATGGGACTCCACACAAACACAGGTCTCCACTGATGCATATTCCGTTGCAGGATCAGGGCCTTACATTGTTAATTCTTCAGGGCAGGGGCCATATTTTTTAAATCACTGTAATGTGTCATGTAATGTTATGACCATATTTTTTTTTTTTAAAGAAAATAATAATCCTATCACCACAACCTCTTCATTTTGAGTCTATGGATGAACTCCTGGAAATCAATGGGAGTTCAGCCATTGACTTCACTGTGGCCAGGATTTCACCCTGCATCTGCTGTCTTACACATCACTGCTGTGGCATCCCGTGCTACTGGGACAGCTGTACACCATTAGGCCATGGTTTCCTGGAAGAGCACACTCTCGTGTCTCAGAGGACATTTTAAAGGGACACAGTATTTGAATTTCCTTAACTTGACTGATTTCCAGATTCAGAGAGAGCTCCCTTTCAAGAACTTGGCCTAATTTATTTTTAATCACTTTTTAGAAAGTTTTACAGGGTTGGTTTTTTTGTTCCCTTTGTATATGTTTATAAGGGTCTTTTCAGCAAAGAAACACGAACAGGTCTGAGAGCAACACCATCAATGTGCTTGGGCCCATAGCCTTGCCCCCCTTGCATACACTGACTTCTTCAGCAACAACAATACTGGGGTAAGGCCTCCCAGCTCCTCAACCGCTCCCCAGCATCTTCACAGGATTCTCCCTGCTGTTTGTCCACCCAGCTGCCACTGCTCCCAGGGAACCAATTCTTGCATCCCCATGTCCCTCCCACCAAGGCCCCTTCTTTGACTCCCTACGTTCCAGGCAGGGAACTGTCAGGAGTATCACCTTACAGCCTGCATGCTGTATCATTACACACATGGAATTCTATACTGGCATTCCCATAACTCACTGATTTATCATTACAAGAAATTAGATTCAGCAAGGAAGCTTTACTAGGCAGTCTGTTTTCCCACCAACACTTTCTCTGATTGCTGTACTAGCAGACAAGTTTCCCTTCTCCCCTGTCACATGAAACATATTCACTCTCTAAAGGAAACAAAAGAAGAAATGCAACTCACTCACCTGAGCTATCAAATCTCCATTTTCAGCATGGACCATGATTACAGCTCCAAGCCCTTTCAGAAAGGTAAAAGCTTCATAAAGCTGTAAGTGGTACAAAGAGGGTCATGTTACTGAATAAGGGTAATATGTTACTTATTTCACAAACATTTCTCCTCATATTTTGAATCATATTTTTATGCTGGCTCTTGCAGAAGTGTTCGGCCACCACCAGCCCCATGTACAGTCCTGGCTAGGACCTCTGTGGCTGCTAGCTATTCCATGTCCCCACTCTCCACACCAGCCTGTCACCAAGTGGTGCAGCAGCTGCAGTCCTGAGGAACTATGTGCCACCTATAGGCAAAGTGTTTCCCTGAGGTCCTTCTAAGGCAAGGCAACTACCCACTACCTCCAATACAGTCATGTGCCTCGTGACAGTTCTCTGGTATGCAGTTTGAGTACAGGCAGCTAACTAACTAAATAGATACAAAAAAGCTTCCATGAATGAACAAGGAATAAGTCCACTAAATTGGAATAGCAGTTAAGCTATGGACACTTTTAGTACAGCTACAGTACCCGTATATTCCCTGAAGTATACACTTCACGCACCTTTCTGTAAGTGTGGGCACAGTTTCAATCTCATGAATGTCTTTCATTTACAGCTAAAGAATTCTACTGTTTTCTCTTATGGGTTTCCATGTTAGTTGCTTTCCAACATTCAAAATAATCCCTACAAAAGGGAAGCAATGGATTCAATTCCTTACATGTGAGCTTTTCAAAAGCACCGAAGGGAGTTTAGGGACTGCCACTGAAAGTCAATGGGACTTGTGCGCCTAATGTCTTTAAGCACGTTTGAAAACCCCACCCTAAATTTTCTGTATGTGGTCTCACTAAGTAATATTGGGAGCCCAGTTTTCAAACTTGGGCACTTAAACTTATGGTATCTGGTCTTCAACTGAGTCACTCAAACAACTACTCAATGGGCTTGGGGCATGTGAGCACTGATCTGAGCATGCAAATGTGTAAATGGGCACTCTGCTTTAGCCATTCAAGTTTGAATATTGGATCCCTTGCCCCCTTCTCCACCTTTTCTTAATATATTTTGCTGTAATTAATTCCATCAAGAAGTTGGACTTAGCATGCACCTCTTCTCAAGAGGATGCTGTTACATTTAAAAGTCTAATGAAAACCACGTGTATTGGAAGTATAACAAAAGTTCTTTAAGAGAAAAGGAAACTCAGCTCTGGAACGAAGTGGGAATGAAGCATTTGCTCAACTGAATAAGCAAACATTATTATTACTAACAGATGCCATTGTCCAATTACAATGATCTGCTGTCTGTGAATTAGAAAGCTGAAGAAGTTGGGTCTAAAACAAGTGCTATACAAACAAGCTCATTGTAATCTCCAACTCCAACAACTGAACTCAACCTTTCCCAAAGAACGCGCTTTAGCAGTTTGCAGTGAGTGAGAAACATGTGGGATTTCAAAAGCTATGTCACTTTTAATATTTCCACTAGTGTATCATCTCTTTTCCCCCCGCAACTCAGATTGAATGTTCCAAAGCCAACAAGTGATGATATAAATCCAGGGCAAAATCTTGAGGGGTGTCTGCTACTTCCATTGAGCTTGATACCATGAAACACTGGTCACCTCTTTGCAAGGTGCTGAGTGCCATGTGCTCCCAAGCGCCTCCATGGAAAATACAGATGCTCAGCATCTCTCAGGCTTTGGCCTCCAGAGAGACAAATTTCATATGTATGCATTTTCTCAAGTTCAGTTCAAAAGCACTATGACTGTCTCAGGTAGCTCTAAACTTCTTAACTAATCAACAGAAAGGAGTTTACGTATATCAACAACGATAAGCATGCTGAAGAATACCTGACTGTCAGACATTTGATAGAGATCTTTATAGGCCATGTAGACTTGGAAAGAATTAACACCTGTTCCAAGACAAAACACAAGGGAGTTGTTAAGTAGATTCTTAAAGTATTTTTGAAGGTCTATTTTGGAGGAAAAGATTATTCAGGAAAATTGACACAGGATATTCACCTTGATTAAGTGATGACCCCTTTTGCTGGGCCCCAATGTACAGTTACTGCCCGCCTCCCATTCCAGACTAGACCTGGAGCAAGCCAACCACCATTGCAATTGAGATATATATGAGATATATATGTGTGACCAAAGAGATACATTAAGCCTGCCAACGCGGAACCAGTAGTCATTTCTTATCCAAGGGAACCCAGCCAAAGGTAATTAACTTAATTATAATCCTATGTGAGCATTCACTGGATAGACAGGCTAAAAGATATACTCCTAACCAAGTAATTCAAATTCTCTGTTGCAACTTTCCTTTTTCTCTCTTAGAGCCATACCCTGACCCATTGGCATCAGTATGTGTTGTGATCCCATTGAAGTCAATGTTCTCCCTGAAGTCAATACAATACTGTTCTTGCAGCTGAAAATGGATATGGCTTAAGCTGCCCTTTTCAGTTAGTGGATTGCCCATATATTGATGCTCAGAGACCAAGGTGCAGATTGGTAATGTGGCACCCATCTGGCTATATGGCCATATAGGGTCAGAGATCCTCCCTCAGCTGGTGTACATTGACCTAGTCAATGGAACAACATGGATTTACACCAGCTGAGGATCTGGCCCATTACTTATAAATCTAACTATTTAAACAAATACTTTTAAAAATGTGCCTGATGCCTTCTCTCATGCCAGTGAGACCCAGCAAGGTCCCATCCCACATGTTATGAAAGTACCATTTAAGTCATGCCCATGGAATCCTGAAGATAGTCAAAGAAATGGGTAGAGCAATCTGTGGATCCTCTTGGCCAATATAGTACTTTCCTATGTGATTTCTTTACATCATATGTGAGAGCCAAATAGATTCATGGGTTATGTAGATTGGCTGCTGAAATGATTGCAAGTCAGGGGAAGCTGTCTGTACCTTTATGAATAGTTGCTCCTGCAAAATTTTCGACCTCTCTAAAGCCAAAACCTCTTTGAATGAGCACTCTATTGATTTAGAACTGATTAACTGTCCAACTATGATGGGCCAATCTCATCAGCAGCCCTGAAAGCTCCCTGGCGATCCTTGGAGAGCATATTAGACAAACTCAAAGTTGAAATGTGATAACTAAGCATTGCTTCTTAACTAACCTGGGATCATTTAGTCAATCAGTGTAAAGAACATCATAGGGTCTAGATCCTCAGTTGATGTCAATGGAGCAATGAAGATTCACATCAAGACAATTTATACCAGCTGAGGATTGTGGCTTAGATGTTTCCAGTTTTCAGCAGATATTATATATTAATTTTTAAAGCTCCTGCCATGTTGAAAAAAGTATCCTATTTTATTTGTGCTTTACCTCTATGTCTCCTATCACACATGAGTAATTCACACTGAGACACACTACAGCATCAGTTTTCAGAGTAGCAGCCGTGTTAGTCTGTATTCGCAAAAAGAAAAGGAGGACTTGTGGCACCTTAGAGACTAACCAATTTATTTGAGCATAAGTTTTCATGAGCTACAGCTATGCATCCGATGAAGTGAACTGTAGCTCACGAAAGCTTATGCTCAAATAAATTGGTTAGTCTCTAAGGTGCCACAAGTACTCCTTTTCTTTTTACTACAGCATCAGTGAGAACGAAGTTGACCTCCAAATGGTATATCTCTCAAACAATCCACTTAGGACCCCATAATACATTCTGCTTTCTGGACCAATGAACAGATTCTTTCTTAAAGTAAATGCCAGGTCATATTTGTATTGAAAACTCAAATTTTTATACTGGAAGCAAACTATTAACCCTGTTGTCTGCACCCGGCTCTTAATGTAAGCCCTCAAGCACATACGAGAGCCATTTGTGAGCCAGCTCTGGAAAATAATAGCTAACCTTTGATACAAACTGCAGTACACTTGCTTGATAGTAAATCCAGCTGAAACTAGATTTAAATCCACATGATCAAAGATGATAGCAGGGGCAGAGGACTGATTTGGCACTGTCAACAATGGCAAATGCTGTCAGCCTATAAAATCAGCCCTATTATAAAAAGCATTGTAAAATTAGCTTCATTTTGCCCAAATTGTACATTATCCTGAAGATTAAAGACTTTAAAGGTTGATAGAATATTTTGTGGCCTAAAATCTGGTTACACAGCAGGTGTACTGTTACAGTAGTGCTGCTCAGGATGAAAAGTCCTATATTACTCCATCTGTGTGGTTTCTCACTGAAAAACTGTCTACACAGTAAACAAGCTGTGCTTTGTCTGTATAGTTATACAGTACAGTTCTATTTAAATAGAGCATCTCAGATATGGTCCATCACAACACTCTACAAAGGACTCTGCATGTATGTATTTGGCTTTCTGACATACAAGAGTCAGCATATATAGCCAGATTATACTTTTAGCAATAAATACCTAGTTGGTTCTCAGGCACTCTGAGTGCACATGAACAAATGGATAATGAACTATATAAATGCGTGTTTTGTGGGCACAACTTAGGAACCTAGACCAAGATATTTTTTTTTAAGTGTCTAAAGTTAGGCTCCTAAATAAGTGACCGGATTTTCGTAAATATTGGGCCTCCACTATCTTCCAGTGGGTGCTGCTGAATGGTCAGCAGTTCTGAAAATCAGGTCACTCCCCCAGATACCTAAATGTGGATTTAGAATCCTAACTTTAGGTTCTAAGTTTTGAAAATCTTGGCCTTAATTTTGAAAATTAGCCATATATTTCCAAATTTCAGGTCAAAGCAGGTGAAGTGCCACGTGGCATTGTTGTTCAAAGATGTATAGCCTATGACGACTGTCCAAGCACTCAAGGTTGGTCTCCTAATTATGTTATCTTAACATAAGGCCTGCCTTGCACTTTGCATAGAGTTATTTCCATCTGTCAAGTGCTATCATTTTTAATCAGATAACCTTTTCCCCTTGCTGATTTGAATTCTCCTCATCTGTACTGGCATAACTCTACTGCCTCTAATGGAGTTACTCCTGATTGATTCCAGTGCATGGAGTTTCAGGCCCACTTTACACAGGGGTAAATGAATACAAAGGTTCATGGCCAGGGTATCTAGTACCTATATGCCTCTTTTGTGGGAAATAACAGGACTATCTGGAGTACTTCAGAATTGAGAATTTGCACATTGCTTAGAGAAAATGAAAACATTTTATTTTCATTAACTAACCTTTATCTTGCACCAGGATATCCATCTCTTCTCGGATCCCATCATACCAGCCAGTGATATCCACATGGAGAGAGTAATCACAACAGGATTTGGTGTCAGCTGCCTCGTGCCACTTTTCAAATGCAGTCAATAAACTCGCTCCAGCTTCAGGAAGCACATGATCAACTGAAATATAGATGAAGCACCTGTTACACAAATTGCACGTATTTCCTATTCTGCAGTTTCAGTGATTATCTATAGTGTACCTACAACAAAGCAGGATTTTTATTGACACAGTATAAATTGCAGGATGTGGGACAGATACAGACCTTTCAAGTATTCCAGCTTTTGCAGAACATTCTGCATTGAAGCTGAATCTAGCAGCCTGTTTTGCTGTACCATGAAATCAGGAAATGTTCCCAGACATGAGAGAGAGATCTAAACACCCTGTATCTTAGGGAAGGTGCACTGAGCTGGCACGCCAGAGATCATGAATTCTGGTCTCTACTGACTGCCATTTACATTTCTATGCACTTCATAACTCTCATTATTGACCAAAGCCTTATATCCTTTTCTAGAAGGCTGTCATGAATTAGCCCATTCCTCTTTACCAATAAATTAATGAAGAGATCTTCAGGCAGCATTGGGAATAGAATCCAGGGCTCCAAAATAGCAGATTCAAGTCTTAACCACTCAGTCACGCTGGCTTTCAGAGTCAGTGTGATAATGACTGGGACTAATGATGCATGTAGAATTACTCATGTTTGCAGGGTTGGGTTCTACTTGAATAATGAAAACACAGCAAGGTGTACTGTATCTTAACATATGCAAACCTTCTGGTGTATTACTGAATGCTGTTCTGCCATCTTTACTGGAATATACTGAACAATATTATCCACCTGCTTAAAAGTGAATCTGGTTTTCCAGTCCAGAGAGGATGGAAATAAAAGCCTATTTAGACTTTCTAAATAGGCTAAAAGATACGGGAGCACCCAACTGAAGAAAATATACTAAAAAGCAACCCTTTCCACTATTAAAAAACAATAATGTATTGTGTGCCTATTTTCATGGCCTTTTGGTGCATGACACACATTCAAAGCAAAGCACCATCCAGAAAAACTAGCCATCCCCCACGACCCACTTCCAACTTGAAGGGAACACAGCTCCATGGGGCAGCATCAGACAGCTTTGGCCATTTACCCCAGCTGAGGCTCTGCCCCACATAATCTTAGTCCAGAGCCAAGCAAATGCGAGGCAGAAAAGATGCAGCTTGCTCAGCAATCTGATGCGCAAAGGACGAGTTTAACAGCCAGGACCATCCTACCAGCACATCCTGCTTCCAGGATGTAGCTGTAAGCAGGCTTCATACCTCCTTGGTCTCATATCTGATTTCTTATACCACTGGTTTATTACTTTCCACATTTTTACCAGTATCTGATATGACACTGTAAGCACAACACTTTATTAGAATTGTTGCTTTGCTTTGTTACTGCCTGTATCAACTGATTAAAAAAAAAAATCAGTGATAGCAAGTATAGTAGATCTCATGAGTGTTATGTGAGAGAAATACAGGACACACTTGTAGAGCTGGCTTGACATAAATAACTTCCCAATCATGGCCACTAAGAAATGAGGCAAGGTGCACGGACAGTTAAGTTGTCAATAGGGGCTTGACAAGCAGTATGCTGGAGTCAGGATGTCTGTGCTAGCTAACGCAAGCAGCTACACCGTAATACTATGGACAACTGACAAGATAAATCTCAAATTAAAGAACAGGTTCCCACATGAACAGCACATGGACAGAGCATGCCGGACTGGTTCCTGCAAAGTAACCAAGCCAACCCAAAAATGTGTGATGTAATATATAGCAAATGCAATGTAATCAGCAAATATATATAAAGGAAGAGGTTTTCTGTGTAACTTTGGATGTGTGGTACACCCTACACTCATCTCCTACGCTTGAGTCTGATCAACTCAACGTAGCTTTGCTGTTTGCCAAACAAAAGGAGAGTGACAAATTCTGGAGTTGAACTGAGTGTTTTGGTTCCCAGAGAACTAGATGAAGTGTTCTCCCAGAAGCAGACATGGTGCTCTGGATAAGTCGGGTGGAAAAAGTTTCAGAGGGAATCCCAACAACACTACCCTATGTGCAGCTGCTTTTTCTAAGGGTAACCTCATTTTCATGTTGATCCTGGTAAAGTTGTCTACAGTAATCAGTGGAGATTCAAGCTGCACAAGACCCAGAAGTTGATCTGATCTTAAATGACTTCTGAAAACAGCTATGTAGAATATACACCGATAAACCCAGTGAACATCATGTGAACTGAAAACAGCAGGTTCCGCTCAGCACCAAGATAGTTAGATTTGAGAGGTGAGAGTATCTAGTACTTACTGATCATGGTGGTACCGCCTGCTAGAGCTGCTTTTGTGCCTTGATAGAAGTCATCAACAGCAGTCATTCCTTGGTACGGCTTTTGTAGGTAAGTGTTGACATCGATTCCCCCAGGGATAACCATACGCCCATTAGCCTCAATTGTCTTTACTCCACCAGGAACAATCAAATTCTCTCCTATTTGTCTAAACAGCAGGAAAAGCACAAGGAAATTTCTAGACAAAAACTAAATTAAGACACTATCAAGGTTGAGCGCACATATCAGTAATTTTGTATTATTAATATTTATATTACCATTTTAGGTAAACTATATTACAGGGAAGTTGCAATTATTTCAAAACCAAACATTCTAAACCCAAGACATTCAAAATTAAAGTTAAACTTAAAAGAAATTCAATTCATTTTAAGGTATGAAAATGCACAGTTAGGGCACCAAAACAAACTCTAGTCATAGTTTCTTCAAACTTCCCCTATAGTTAAAACTCAATCTTGTGCATAGGCTACATTTCAATATATATGAATTACAGGTCTTGTAATTCTTCAGAACTGAAAAGAAATCTCAACTCTGTCCTACAGTGACACAATGCAAAATCCATACAATCACGAGGAAGGCATTTTAGTGTTTGTGGACTCCACTTAGATTAAAACTGATTTTTAAAAACATGTTAGATTTCAAAAATTGTTAACCCCTCCTGGGGTCAATACAGGGTGAAGTAAAGGTTCTATGGGTACCACAACACTGCATTTCCACACCTCAGCTTGCTTGGGTTTGTTTTTTGGTTAACATTAACTGTGAACATCCTGGGCTTATACTACTTTGTTTTAGGATAATTACTACACCCCTGTAATGTAGTTTCCCCTAAATTACTGATACATTCTCTTAGCCCTAACTCCCTTTCAATATAGATTTTCTGTGGGATAAAATAATATTTATGTGCATATATGTGTACTCATCCCAGACATATATAGATCCTGAATTTATTTTGCCCAACATTAAAATGCAACAGCTACCCGTGAAATGAAACTTGGCAACTGTTTAACAGCCTGTAGCAACAATTTAGGGTGGGAAATGAATATAACTATTAATTATACCCAGGGGAAACTACTAGTAATTACTCAAACTGGAATTTGGCCAAACAACCAGAGTTTAAAAAGAACCACAGGAGATCAAGAGCTCATTTTTACACCTCATCCAAAGGACTCCACATCCAACAGCACCGTGTCCCATACTACAGTGGGACACAGGGCTCGGTTCTAGTCTAGAGGGAAGAGCACCAGGTTCTGAATTAACCACACTGCTTCCTGCAATATCTGGACTTTTGCTAGAAGTCTCCATTCTAAGTACTAACCAAGCTTAGCTAGTGAGATCTGATGCCAGCTCAGCTTGAGGCCATATAGCTGTGTGTGAAAATGCCCAATAGTCACCCAAATGTTGCATTACATTGGGAGGCATGCTGTAACATGTTTACAACTATGATAAATATTAATGTAGCTAATTATAGAGTGAAAAATAGGTAGGGAATTAGTACAGCTGCATGAATGCAAGCAGACTAGCACAACAGGTTACACAAAAGGGACTTAAGATGCTTCAGGATTCTTCAAATTTGAATTGCAAAGAAATATCACAAGGTACTCAACAAATGAAAATAGGGGGAAGATCATCAGCTTGTTTAAATCAGCATTTCTCCATTGTTTTCAGTGGAACTAAGTCAATTTACACCAGATGATCATTTGTCCTTAACATTATAATCAGAGCTACATTGCTTTCCTTGTGTGGCAAGGAGATCTGAGAATGGAAAAAAAGAACTAAGATCCATCTCCTTTAAATTCTACTTTGAAACAAGAATAGCATTCCAAAGACTACATGTGAACACTGTGAAAAACAAGAAAATCAAAAAATAAAAGTAAGCTGGTTTTATTTCCCCCTTAAAAATATCATCTTTTCAGATTCTGATTCAACTAAGCACTTAAGCACATGCTTTGCCGAAAAAGGACAGGCTTTGCGATGTGCTTAAAGTTAAGCATTTAAACACGGGCCTCAGTCCCGCTGAAGTCCAAGCGTGTTAAGCATGTGTAGAAGTGCTTTGCTAAACCAGGGCCTGAGCCATTCTCAGTCCATTGCAGAGCGTCAGCTTCCTCAACATTGCTGCAGTCCATTATGTTGAAGTGAATGGATTTCACTACACTTGGCTGGTGCGGATAGCAAGGTGGTGCCACTTTTAGACAGCCTGTCTCACTTCTAGTGTTGCCACCCAGGTTAAGCCTGCTGGAAGAAGGCTGATCCTCACTGGCATTGCTCAGTGATTTTTATTCTGACTGTTTGACTGGAACACTGAGCAAGAGGTGGTGTGTCAGGCTTCTTGGACAGTTCATTTTGGAATAATATTTGTATGCTAATGAAAAAGTGGGGTCATTTAGTTGCTGCTTACAAGTGAGAGAGAAAGGGAATTATGCTTAAAGTTACCATGCCAATGCCCCCAGACACCATTTGATGCACCAGTAATCATTAGCAACTTGCAAGATTCACCCTCTCAAACAGTTGCCATACTCTATAATTTCCTGTGAACAAAGCAAGTAAGCAATGTCATACTACATGAACAAGTTGACTAGGGCATAATGTAGAGGCCCCAATCCTGAATCCCCTTACTCACATGCTTAAATTTATGCACACAAGAAATCCCCATTGAGCTCAGTGCAGTTACTCAAATTTGTAAACAAAGAACAAAGGGTAGGAACCAGGCAGGTACTTAGGCACCTAAGTCCCATTTTTAGGAGCCCAAGTCCTGTTTTTAGGCACCACTGCGATCCACAAAACACCCACATGGCTGCTGCCTAACCCTGTAGGTGCCTACGTTTTTTTCCTTTGGGTATACAGCCTCACTTTAGACAGCCTCTCTCTAGGCCTGAGCATGTTCACTACTGCCTCATGATAAGCACCCAGAAACTTATCTCCCACCTAAGCCCCACAGTGATTCACAGACTGGGGAACACTAGTGTTTGGCTGCCCAAGTCATGCACAGGGGTCCAACCCTGTAAGCAGCTTCCGAGCATGCCTACTGGATTGGGCCCCTCAGACAAGTTCACACAGAACAGCTGCAGGAGCAAGACCGCCCTTGTAATCGTTAAAGAGGGGTTAGGGTACTCACTCAGGATGTAGAAGACCCCTGATTCAAGCTGCCCCCCATCCCCTCCTGAGGGGGAGAAGGGATATGAACAGGAATCTGCCACTTCTTAGCATTGCGATAGAATCACTCTAACTCATTCTGTGGCCCATATCACATTTAAGAATTCCATTGTTTAATTAAAATGGAACAACTTCAGCAGGAGAGATTGAGGGAGCCCCACATATGAATACTCCATAGACTCACAGCTGGGGCACTTACCTGGGAGGTGGTGGAACCCTGTTCAAATGCTTTCTCTCCTACGGAGGAGCGGGGACATGAACCAGGGGTTTCCCACATCCTGGGTGAGTATCCTACTGCTGAGCGAAAGACTATAAGGGACATCCTTGTCCTCTTCCCCCCCCCCCCAGCCCCCAGCTGTTTTGTTGAATGTCCCACATGCATCTAGGGGAAGATAAGTGCTTAGCCACCTAAGTTTGTGGATCACTAGGAGAGCTAGGCGCCTCCCTGCAGCCCAGACTTAGGGGCTTATCTCCCTGAGAGGGGCAGGGCTTAGCACATACCCCTCTGGTTGGTGTCTCCCATTGGCTAGTTTAGACAGCTTCTCCCGTGCCATACTGGCTTTGTGAATCACAGTCTATTGCATTGTATATGGAGCCTGAGCATCTCCCTCAGGCTTTGCAGATCAGTGTTTGTTCCTGTGATTTTCTATGTGCCAAAAAGTTAGAAGCCGTGATGCTCAGTTTTGCAACACCTAAGTCTCTTTGTAGATCCCACCCAAAGTGTTTGCAGGATCAGTGCCTAAAATTCACAAGAGGTTTCAGACTTCACGGTAGCTCAAAGGTCAACTCATTTGTTTTATTATATGACATGTTTACAGAGACCACAGAGAATGTGCATCTGAACAAAAAAGGGCAGCGCTAAGGTGAAGTAACACTCTTTTTAGAGGGACACTAATTGGCTGATTGTGCAGACCAACATGGGTGCTCCCAAGAGTTTTGTTAGCTCCAATTAAAATGAGATTTTCTTGGGATTTAAGCACTCCTGTTTCCTTTTTGCAATGGCCATGTCCAATGCTGAGCAAATGCACAAGAGTCAGAAAGGGAAACTGACTAGAAACTAAGAAACATAAAACAGAATAGTCTTTCATTGTCCAAGATGAATGAGGTGGATTACATTTATTATATTCTTTCTGTTGTAATAATCTATAGAATTATTAACAACACAGGTATGGCTAACTATTTAAAGAACATCATTTTTAGTCTGACCGTGTCCATCTACAAAAAAGGAGCTCCTAAGACAGAGAAACAATGTATTATTTATTGATCGTTGTTATTTTTTCATGCCCTAGCTTTTGGCCTCTGGAGACGTGCACTGAAAACCTGCATATGTCACAAGTGAAGAAAGTTTGGTGGGCACAAACTAGTCTCTATTGGATATTTGTGAATATCACAACATCTTTGCACTTCCACAATTCAGCAAAATTAGCAATATTTCTTCTCAGCCAAGGTCCAGAGTGGGAAGCACAGAACTGCATGAGGAACCTTGCATCTCAACTATCTGAATCCATTCAAGGCTATCTGAAATATGAGTTTCTGAAGCAATATGTTTATCCAAAGAAAATCTGTATTGCTCCTGCAGCTGGCATCCTGAAGTTGTTGCAGGTTCTGTTTGTGGTGAGAGAAAGAGACTTGCTTTAAATCCGATTACCTTGTTAAAGTTTAGGAATTCGCTTGCATTTTTATCTTTTTATTTCTTTTGTAACCAATTCTGACTTTATGCCTTGTAATTGTTTAAAATCTATCTTTCTGTAGTTAATAAACTTATCTTATTGTTTTATCTTAACCAGTGTGTTTGGATTAGACTGTGTGGGAAACTCCACTTGAGGCTGGAGCATAATCATTTTCCTTTGTTGAAATGACGGACTCACAATGAGCTTGTCCTGTCCAGGAGGGTTCTATACAGCACAAGATGCACATTTCTGGGGTCAAGGCTGGGACTAAGAACATGCAGGTGTCACCCTGTATGTAACTCATATGTGGCTGGGAGAGCATTCATGTATTCAGCTGGGAGTTATTTTACATGGAAGTGGCTGTGTATAAGCCGGGCTGCGAGCAGTGGCAGTTCACAGTAAAGCAGTGTAAAAAACTAGAGCTGAGGGGATACAGCTGTTCAACAGTCCAGACTGTACCCTGAGGAACGTGACACCTGCCCATCTCTATATAAGTGTGTAAGAAGAAAGAACACAAAGAGCATCTATATTCAGTGCACAAGCAGCGATGTACACAATGCTGGTGTACAAGAGAGCAGCCATATATGTACATGGGACACATACTAGGGGTTCCGTGTGAGGAAAAGTGCCTATGTAGGGACTCAGTTTCCACATACAGCACAAAAATGGCACCAATATCATCAAGAGAAAATAGCTGTAACAAGCACCCCACAGCCCATTGAGCAAGTAACCGTTCATCTTCGCCTGGGATCTCTTGCACTAGAGATACCTGACAGCTCGGCTGGGCTTGTGCGACTACCTGCACTGCACAGGTGTTGACACAGACTAAGTCCTGTCAGAAGTAACTGAAAATGGACCCATTGCAGGTGCAAAGAACTCCAGTCACACTGACTGACGGCATCTTCTACCTGCCTGACACTAGCAAAGATGAAAAGCAGATTTTTATAATAAATAAAATATTCCTCTACAACATACAACATTAACAGGCATCCACAGAGGTGTGCAAGCTGGAGGAGTCAAGCTCACTGTTATAATTAATATGCATGCAAAAATGTTCAGTATTTTAAAAACCAACTTTATAAGTCCATCTTCCAGGTATATGTCTGCATAGAAGGAGTGGTCATCATTGATAATTCTTCCACCTTTAATGAGCAGTCGATCACTCTGAGGGGAGAAAAAAGAAGAAACATTTATGAAGTAAACAAAAATGGAATCAAGTCAAATACAACAAACCTAACCTTTATACCATGGACCCATTAACATCAGAAGTGCCAGGGACACTCAGTTCATACCAGGGGTAGCCAAACTTACTGGCCCTCCAAGCCAAATATAACAATCTTCAGAAGTTCGAGAGCCAGGGCACACCTGCTCCTGCTGAAGTCCCAAGATGCGTTTCCTGTGAGCTGCACGCTTGGGCGGCCGCGCAGGTGATGAGCAGAGCCGCGCACATCCAGCGTGTGTTCCGGTGCCCCCCAGCCCCAGCTGCTTTGCAGCCACGTTGCTCCTGCAGCTGCTTCTGAGACCTTCCTGCTGGCTGTGCAGAGCGGGGGGTGGGGGAGGTAGGAAAGGAGGTTGCTGTTGTCAGGGTGTCCCCCTCCCCCAGTCCCTGTACCCCATCTCCACAGAGCAGGGTAGAGGGGACAGGGCTCATCAGGACTCGCAGCAGTCTGAGGTCTGAACAAGCCTTCCGGTGAGTGCCTTAAAGAGACAGTTCTCGGTCTCTCAGAGACTTACCCAGCAGCCAACACACACAATCTCTGTCTCTGTCTGTCTCTCTCTCTCTTCCCCACTCCCCGCCCATGTAGGGCAGGACATAGTTCAGGAGGAGAGCTTTCAGTGTGTGCCTTAAAGAGACAGCAGACAGGCGTCTCTCAGAAACTTCTCCAGCAGCCAGCACACACACACAAACACAGAGTCTGTGTGTCTCACACACACAGACACAGTGTCACACACAGAGTCTCTGTGTCACACACACAGTGTCCGTGTCACACACCTCCCAACACTGTTGTTATTGTTGTTCCTTCTTGGTACTCCTGTAACCCCCATATAGTCTCTCTAATTTTATTCTTTCAAAGTGTGTTATTTTAGTTTTTTGAGACTGATCTATGCATTTCATAATTTTTATTTCTCTCTTGCACTGCTTCTTTGCATCCGATGAAGTGAGCTGTAGCTCACGAAAGCTTATGCTCAAATAAATTGGTTAGTCTCTAAGGTGCCACAAGTCCTCCTTTTCTTTCTTTGAGTAGTGAGTTCTAAAATGCCTAGCTTGTCCTGGCTGGAGTAATTATCCCTATTGGTAACTTTTTAAAAATATATACTGTATCTAGGTTTTTTGTTTCTATTGGTGGCGCACATCCGCACATTACCTTGAAGCACATAACAAAATGTATTCCGCACATGGATGGAAAATTGGTCCTGAGCCCCAGCAGGTGCGCCCCACAGGGCTGAAGACCCAAGATGCCCCTACCCGCTGGGCAGAAGCTCTATCCCACCACTCCGCTGCAAGGTAGAGGTCCCGAGCTCCAACACCCTCTCCCCCCCTGCCCGCCCCAGTCTGGTAGGTGGAGAAGGGGAGGCATGGAGGACTCCACGAGCCACACTTTAATGGTAATAGGGTCATATGTGGCTCACGAGCCAGTTTGGCCACTCCTGGTTTATACATTCCACCTATCATGTAATCATGCCACCTGAAAGGCATACATTTTCTGAGTTTTGTGTCTGGGTTTTAGTCTCATCACTCCCATCAAAGTGATGCCATCAAGATGAAAACCACATACCATTTTTTATAAATGCTACCTGTGTTGCTAATAACACCTCATACAATTAACAATGACAAATGGAGTAACATAGCCTTCCACCTTATCATAGAATCATAGAAATACAGGGCTGGAAGGGACCTCCAGAAGTCATGCTGAGGCAGGACCAAGTAAACCTTGACCATCCCTGACAGGTGTCTGTCCAAGCTGTTCTTAAAATCGTCCAATGATGGGGATTCCACTACCCTGATAAATAGAAAGTTGTTCCTAAAATCTAACCTAAATCTCCCTTGCTGCAGATTAAGGCCATTACTTCTTGTCTTATCTTCAGTGGACATGGAGAACAATGTCCTCCCTCAGTCTTCTTTTCTTAAGACTAAACAGAAACCAGTTTTTTTAACCTTTCCTCATAGGTGAGATTTTCTAAAACTTCTCTCATTTTTGTTGCTCTCCTCTGGACTCTCTCCAATTTGTCCACATCTTTCCTAAAGTGAGGCAACCAGAATTAGACACAGTATTCCAGCGGAGGCCTCATCAGTGCCAAGCAAAGTGGGATAATTACCTCCCGTGTCTTACATATAACACTCCAGTTAATACACTCCAGAATGATATTAGCTTTTTTGCAACTGCATCAGACTGTTTACTTAATTTGGAATCCACTATAGCCCGCAGCTCCTTTTCAGCCATACTTTCACCTAGCCAGTTCTTCCCCATTTTTAAAGATAGGTACCATGTTTTCCCTTCTTCAGTCCTCTGGCACTTCACCTGTCCTCTATGAGCTGTAAAAAATAATTGCTAATGGTTCCAAGATTGTTTCAGCTAGTTCCTTAAATACCTGAGGAATAATCTTATCAGGCCCTGCTGACATGAATACATCCAACTATCTAAATATTCTTTAACCTATTCTTTCCCTATTTTGGCTTGCATTCCTTCCCCCTTGTTGTTAGTACTAATTGTGTTGAGTATCTGGTCACCATTAAACTTTTCAGTGAAGACTGAAGCAAAATGGGCATTAAACACATCAACCTTCTTGATGCATCAGTTATTAGCTCTCCTTTCTGCTAAGTAGAAGACCTGCATTTTCCGTCCTCTTTCTCTTGGTCCTAATAGATTTAAAGAACCTCTTCCTATTGTCTTTTATGTCCTTTGTTAGGTATAACTCATTTTGTGCCTTAGCCTGTCTGATTTTGTCCCCATATACTCGTGCTAGTCTTTTGTATTCACTTTAGCAATTTGTCCATGTTTCCACATTTTTTAGGATTCCTCTTTGATTTTCAGGTCATTAAAGAGCTCCTCATGGAGCCATATGGGCCCTTTACTATTCTTCCTATCTTTCCCTCACATTGGGATAGGTTGCAGTTGTGCCTTTAATACTGTCTCCTTGAGAAACTGCCAGCTCTCCTGAAATTCTTTTTCCTTTAGATTTTCTTCCAATGGGACCTTACCTATCTATTCTCAGAGTTTGTTAAAGTCTGCTTTTTTGAAGTCCAATTTTCCTTATTTTGCTGTTCTTACTTCTTCCTTTCCTTAGAATCATGAAATCTATCGTTTCATGATCACTTTCACACAAACTGCCTTTCACTTTCAGATTCCCAACCAATTCTTCCCTGTAGGTCAGAATCAAGTCTAAAATGGCTGTCCCCCTGCTTACTTCCTCCACTTTTTGAAATACAAAAGTTTCCCATACATTCCAAGAATTTATTGAAAATTTTGTTTTGCCATATTACTTTTCCAACAGATGTCTTTTCCAGCCTTGATGACACCCATTGACATACAGCCCAGATGGACAGTGGACTGAAATGTATTACCATCTGATGGATATTAAGTGGCCAATGTGAAATGAGTTTGTGGGCACAACCTAGTTCCTAGAGGACAAATGTCCAAAAATGCCAAAGCCATCACATACGATAGTAATTTTCAATCTTGGGCCAGATCATACTACAACTCTTTTATGTCACTACCATAATGTACAGGAGCCATAAAGGGAAAACAATCACCCCCAGGACAATTCCCTCAACACAAGAGCAGCATAGACCTAGCATACATGGCCCTACAATGCCCCCTTTATAGCCCCTGTCACAGGGCCAGCCAGGGTTAGGGCTAGAGTTGGAAATACAACCAGTAATGGCCAGAGAGTCTTTACTCCAGTAGTTCTTGGTCCCAGAACAACTTATTGACTACAGTGGGGAAGCTGCCTTAACTAACAGCAGCCCGGTAAGCTCAACTGTGCTGGTTCCCCAGAGTAGCCAAGAATATACACCTTTTCCCTGCCCCCTCCCCGATCTATACATTCTGTGCTGTGCCTCACAAGAGACAACATGGAATCTGGTCTCTGGTTGACTGTCTCAGCAGATAGATGAAGGACTCAATGGACATGGAGACTGAACTACCTTCTCACCCCTCCAGGTGATCCCTCCAGATTCATTTCAGGGGACTTTAGTCACGCAGTTCAGGGAAGTCTGCACTGCTGCGGCCTGCTCAGTATCCATTCTGTGAATGGAACAGTTCAGTCTCCAGGGCTAGATTTAATTGCACTGTCACATGGCACTGCTGCAGGGCGAGCTCTGGGAGGGCTACAGCCAGCCCAACCAAACTCGGCTGTGCAACATAAGTGCTTGAGAACGGAATGAGAGTGACTGGTTTACCAGTAAACAGACCAGTTTACTGACTTGGCTTGCCTTCATGGCCCAAGCTGAGTGACATGCATAAAAGGGGGGAAATGAATTAGTTTTCTGAGGGAGTTAATTCTGTGTGCATGTCTTTATATGTGAATCTAGTGTTGAGTAAGGGCTCTAGCAGAGATGTGCAAGGGAATTAATAGGGGGAAAGAGTTCCCATGAGAAACAAGAAGCCAGTCAGGGTCCCTTTTCCATACCCCTCTGTGATCTAAAAGAGCCTCCCAGGGGGCAGAGCTATAGCTCATCACAGTGCCATAGAGCTGGTCAGCAGCAGAAAGTGAGAGCCTGCTGAGTGTGTCCTATATGCACTCCACCATCCCCAATCCCACCCAGAATTTCAAAGAGCACAGGGAAAAAGAGGGAGTGAGCGCCACGCAATCTCTCTTGGGAGGTACAGCACGCTCCATTCTCTGTAGTCTACTAGCTCTGCAGGTTGGTATGAGATGAGAAGAGGGAAAGAGTGAGTTCTGACCTGAATGAGCAGTAGAGTTACACACACATATCCACAACTGAAGGTTACTTTTGTAAAAACTAACTCAGCATGTTTTCACTTCCCTTGGCCTCAGCTGTAAAAGTAAACTGGTTTTAGTCAGGTTTCTGATTCTGATGTACTAGCATCACGCAGCAGTGTTTGGATTTTGAACACTGCTGGCAAACATGTAAATACACAGAGCTTTTACATAGTCATTTAAAAAATCAGCAATAGGGCATATGTAGACCTCATAAAAAT